ATCAGTTTCTCACATGGAAGAAGATCCTTGCCTCCAGCTGACCTCAGATGAAACAGCAACTCCAGACAACACCTTGATTACAACCTCATGAGACTCTAAAGCTCAGCTTTGCCTAGATTCACAGTCCACAGGAACTGTGAGATAATAAATATGTGTTTTGCTGGCATTCACAAAGCTCTATGTTTGATCTTTAGCAGCCCCCACACAAAAAGTGTTGTTTTTAATCCAACATTTTTTATTTCTACCATTAGTTTCCCAGCCTTACAATGCCTTTTATTATTATTATTATTATTATTATTATTATTGATTCTTTCTAGTTATGTTATTATTGATTCTTTCTAGTAGAATCCAGTTTGACAGAATTATAGAAGCATGGAATATATCTTGTTCTAATTCAGTCCCCGATATCTCCCGTCCCCATATCCTACCCACTGCTCCCTTCCCTCTACAGATATTTCTGCCATTTACCCATAGTTATTTTTTAAATTCACTTCTTGTGGATGTACATGATGGTAAGATTCACTGTGGTGTGTTCATATAAGTACATGGGAAAGTTAAGTCAGATTCATTCCACTGTCTTTCCTTTCCCCCCCTCTCCTCCCTTCCTTTCATTTTCCTTTGTCTGATCCACTGAACTTCTACTCTTTTTTAAAAATGTTCAAAATCTGTAGCAATTAGAGAAATGCAAATTAAAACTACACTGAGAATTCATCTCACTCCAATCAGAATGGCAATTATCAATTAATTATCAGTAACAATTAATGTTAGTGAGGATGTGGGGGGAAAGGTATACTAATACATTGTTGTTGGGATTACATTTGGTGCAACCACTGTGGAAAGCAGTGCAGAAATTCCCCAAAAAACTAAGAATGGAACTACCATTTGACCTAGTTATCCCATTCCTTGTTATATATCCAAAGGACTTAAAATCAGCATACTACAATGACACAGCCACATCAATGTTTATAGCAGCTCAATTCACAGTAGCTAAACTATGGAGTCAGCCCAAGTGTTGGATAAAGAAAATGTGGTTTACATATACAATGGAGTATTACTCAGCCATAAAGAAGAATTACTATGACATTTGCTGGTAAATGGATGGATCTGGAGATTATAATGCTAAGGTGAAATTTCTAGTTACATCTAAATGAACAGATAGAACAACATGATTCCTTGCAATGGAGTGTGTGTGAAAAGTTGTATATTTTGCCTAGGAAGTTTAACTGAAGTGTGTTCAAACCTGTTAGTGAGGAAGCAAAGGTGAATGGATTTGGGGCAGGCAATTAAGAGTGCCTGACTGGAATGTCCAAGGGTAGAGTACACAGAACTTGTGGATCCTAGGTCTTCACSGGGGCCATGCATTGTGTCAGCTCTGCTTTCCTTGGATTGGCGTCACATTAAAGGAGGCTGTCTTCACCAGGTAGGTGTCCCCTGGAAAGTCACCTACCATATCAAATCCTCAGTTTCCTTATGCTAGAAAATGAAGTTATAAGTCACCTGCACAAGTACATGGTGAAGATCCAACCAGACAGTCATGTGTACACTTTCAAATGCAAAATTGCAGAGAAATTTACTGTTATAAGCTCAGTGGCCTACTTTGGGACATATTTTTTTAAAATTTGGCATCTATACCTTCTTCCCTGTTTCTGAGTACAAATAAAAATTATAAATAAACTCACAGATTTTGTTTAGCAAGTCTCTCCTGCAATTTGGTGCATGCACACACACAACTGTCACCTTCTTTATCAAGAGTGAGAGACATTGCTATTTTTTTTTTTTAAATCAGCATTTAAAAAATTGAGTTCTGGCAGGGCGAGGTGGTGCACACCTGTAATCCCAGTGGCTTGGGAGTATGAGGCAAGAGGATCACAAGTTCAAAGCCAGTCTCAGCAAAATCGAGGTGCTAAGCAATTCAGTGAGACCCTGTCTCTAGATAGAATACAATATTGTTACCATATACTCTAGTTTCTAAATTGTACTTTAAAAGTTAAAAAATAATAATAATAAATAAAATACAAAATAGGGCTGGGGATGTGGCTCAGTGGTCAAGTGCCCCTGAGTTCAATCCCCGTACTCCAATTCTCCCCCAAAAAATTGAGTTCTGGGGACACAGGAGCCTGTAGAAGTATCTCAGATCCAGTGTGTGTGTGTGTGTGTGTGTGTGTGTGTGTGCACCTGTGTGTGTATATGCGTGTAGGCAAGAACTGAAGGGACAGAGCTGCCTCGTTTAACTAGAGTAGAGCTGCCTTGCTTTTGTCTGTCTTTTACATCGTGATTCTGGGTGAGATTTTACATCAATATGAGTAGCAGTATGATTAAAATGGCAGCAAATCTGGCAACAAAACAGAAGAAATAAATCAAATACTGACATTAATTGACTAAAAGCTAATAAAGGTAGAACTGACTCCTAATTTGAGTTAAATTAAACACAGCTTGATGATATTTGGGATCCAATTAAAACAAAAAAAAAAGACCAGTAATAGCCTGAAGGTGTACATGTTCCAGTGGCTCAAGCCTGAGGAGGACCTCCCTCCTTCCCTTAGCTCTCATCTGGCACTAAGGACACTTAAACACCTCTAAATTGGATGGAATCAACTAGCCTTCTTACACTGTATACTACACAGTATTATTACTGTTTACCAATCTCTCCTTATTCTGGCCAATGAAATATGAGTGTAGTATTTAGCAACAAGGTTATAAAGAACTAATGTATCTTCCTCTGAACTTTCACTTTCCTGCCATCACAATTCACAGGGTCTAAGCTTCAGATGGCACACCCACAAGATGATGAGCCTCTGTCCCCTTGAGTCCTGGTGGCTATGAAGGGCAGAGTACCCTGCCTAACAACAATAGATATGTACCATGAGTGAGAAACAAAGCTTTGCTTGAACTATGGGTATTTCATGGTTACTCTTTAAAGCAGCAAAACTAACACTGTATCTTCTGGGAGGAAATCTAGAGACTCAGAAAGATTTTTCAGGATGGGAGCATTGAGTGAAATGGAGATGGAGCAAAAAAGGGAAAGAAGCAAGGTAACAGCTGAGGAAGCTATGTGATTAAAGGGAAAATCATGGACTTTGTTGTCAAACAGACCAACCTATCTATGGCATAAATAAGTTTTACTATTTTCCTTTTGACTTTGAGCAAACTGGCAACCTCTCTCTTTTCTTATCTATAAAGCATAATATCTACATTACAGGGCTGCTGAAAAGATTTACACACACACACACACACACACACAGAGCTAGCATTCAGCACAGTATATAACAGTAAGTATGTAGGTAATCAGCAAAATTATATGTTCTTTTCCTTTGTTCTCTTCCTCCTAAACATTTCTAAGTGTGGTAGTTTCCTAAGTTTTTATGTCACAAACTCTACAACTTACTCCTTAAAATTCCAACTACTCACTTCATGGTTTGCAACCCATACATCTCTGCTAGGACTTTGAAAACTAGGAGAAAATGCTGCCAAATCCTTGGTCTTACTGCTTTTGTAGCATATCTGGACTTTTGAAAGACAAAATCAGGACTAATGTAGCTGAGTCTAAAGCCAAGGAGAGATTGGGTGAACAGTCTTCAGGGGGTAATACCATCACCTATTTCTTTGCCCACAGATGAGCTCCATTCTTCCAGATTTATGTGCAGGCCCTGACCTCTTCCTGCCTTTTCGGTTGTCTTCTGCATCAGTCTGTTTGGATCATTCGCTCCTGACCTTCAAGAAATATTTTTTAAAGAAGCTTTACTAGAAACAAAACTGAAASCATCAAATTCAAAAACATAAATATACAGGTAAATAAATGCATGGGGTTTGAACAAGAAATCTATCCTGACAAACTGGAGCAATCAAGAGATGGCTGTAGACCTTAGAGGACAGTGATTCAGAGTTGACACCTCCTGCCATGTTCTGAACGTGCAGAAACCAACTGATCCAAAAGTCCCCATTACTTGTTGAATTTTAATGAAAACAAACAAACAAACTTACTCCCCTTGTTTTGATCCTATCCTGATTGAGTCTAGAACCGAATGTTAATTTTYATATTACAAAATGTCCTGAGAAGAATGTACGGAACTAAATATATTTTTCAAAAGAAGACGTAAGATTGAAAAATAAAAATGTTGACAAATATTGTTCCAGTGATTTAGAACCTCAGTTCTCAAAGGAAAGATCAGTCTAAGAAGGAGGCTGGACGTGAAAGCCTGAGAACAATACTCAAGGGGGCTGCTACCACAGGGACCACCGTCCACTCACCAACTTGGAGCTTTTGGTAATTTGAATGCTCGTTTTCTTAGCTTGTGACCTCAACTGTTTAAATACAGCCTTTTCTAATTTTTAAGGTTCTAAGGAGAGCGAAGAAATCGTCGTTGTCCTTGATAAAAGAGCGGGAACATTTTAATTTGAGAAGTAGCCAGTCCTCAGGGGTACGGTGCCCCTTGGTCGTAGTAGGGAAATTCTGGAGGCCTGCTACAACCCTCCCTCTGCTAATGCAGCATGTCCTAATTTAGCCACTCTACGCTGAAAATAATCCCACCACACAGTTTGTCAACTACAGAGTATTTTGCAGTTCCTGTTTCTGAGGCGGGCCACGAGCTCTCAGCCCATTCGCAGAGGCGAGGTGATCGACACCCTCTGATTCCAATGGGCGTCAAGCCCTTCCAGCCTTGGGGGACAGCGAGCCTGGGTCCCTTATTTGGTCCCTTCCTGAAACACCAGCTACCTTCTGTGTACTCCAAGTGCATGCTTCCATAAGGAGTAACTAGTGGGAAGAAAAAAGAAACGAAAAAAAAAATACTCAAAATACGCAGACAAAAGAACCCGCGTTCATAAACGGGGACCCTCCCTATCTGATCCCTTCTATCAACCCCGCAGTTTCCCGGGTGTCCATACTCATTGACAGATTTCGTCCCTGGGGAGAGACGATGGCCTCCGTGGCCAGACCCTACTCCCAGGTTTGCCCTTCGTCAGGTCTWGCTTCAGGCAAGGGATCCGTCGCGTCCCTCCACTCCCGCCCGCAGCTGCCGGGACTCCACTTTCACTTTCGGTCCCCGGGGCCGCAGGCAGGCAGCGGTGGCGCGAGGGTGAGTCGATCTGTCCCGATCCCCAGGCGGGCCGCGAGTGTCCGGGGTGGGCTGGCAGGGAGCGAGCTGCGGAGCCAAGGAGGGAGCGATCAGGACTCTTTTTCCTGAACTTGCTGGGAGGCGGGAGGGCAGGGGCGCSGGGAGGAGGGTGAGGCCGGGCTGGGCTGGGCTGGGTTGGGCCGGAGTCAGCGGGGACCACTGCGAGTGGACGAAGAGCCCACGCGCACGCTCCCCTGCCACCCGGAGAAGGCGGGGGCGCGCGGCCGGCGGGTCGCCCTGCTCGCCGCTGGGCAGGCCGCGCTGTGGCCGGGCTGKAGGGAGCCGCGCCGCGCGCTCCGCCTCGCTGCTGGAGTTCTGCCAGCCGCGGAGTCCGCTCCATTGCGCTGGAGGTCAAAGAGGGGCGGGGTTAGGCCAAGGAGGACGCCTTGCTGGTTCTTGCCAGAGAACAGAACTTGGCTTTGGGTGAACMACCGGGAAGATGATAGGGGTTTAGTGAGATGGGGCGCTATTTGTGTCYTAAGGTTGGTTTCCTCCCTGTTTCTGCTGTACTACTTCTTCTTTTTTTCATACTAGGAATTGAACTCCTGGGGCACTCGACCGCTGAGCCACATCCCCAGTCCTATTTTGTATTTTATTTAGAGACAGGGTCTCACTGAGTTGCTTAGCGACTCACAATTGCTGAGGGTGGCTTTGAACTCGTGATTCTCCTATCTCAGCCTCCCAAACCGCTGAGATTACCCGCGTGCGCCTCCGCGCCTGGCTCTCCTGTACTACTTAACAGCAAATTTCTTTCCCTTCTTTGTTCTGACTTTAGCCGGGTTTTATTCCGATAAAACTCTCCTGCTTGAGCAATTGAAGGTTTCCTTCTGAGGTTGGGGATTAAATTCARTGGCACAGGGCTTACCTAGCACACTCCAGGCCCAGAGTTGGGTCCTGGGCCCTTGGGGKAGAGGTGAGAGGATTTTCTTTCTTGGCCCTTCAGTAGGCCTTCAGGTTAATTTTCTTAAGAGGAAGGGAAAAGCAACACTTCCTTATGCTTATGATTTGGCTTCTTTGTATAGACCACATTCAAAATAAATGCTGTTTTCAAAAAAATACCCAAAATATTTATTCTCGATTTAGGATGTGGTCAACAGTTGAAAAAACTAACAACAACAAAAACAAACAAACAAAAAAATCTTTATATACTGAGTAGTGGCACATTTTTAAGTAGACCTAAATAGAAAAATTCAAAGTGATCCAAAGTTTAAATCATTTGCCAGGAGTGACAAGTGGCAAGCTGTTTTCAGTACTTGTTAACTTCATTGTTCAGAAACTTCAGAAGCAAGTTCATTGTTCCTTTGATGCTCTATTTTGCATTCAGTAGTGTCCCATAAAGGGAAGCCAAAAATAATTGAACCAGTTGCCACTGAACTACTAGATGAGTAGGAAAAGTCAGAATCACCAAGGCAACCCAACAAGATAAGTTGTTAGATTCTTCAGGCCCCAAAGTAAAGCTCAGAGAGCCTGTTGCACTTGTGGGAGGACATTGATTGTGAAAGAGGCTTTAATTTGACCAGATGCCAAAAGAAAATACTTTTTGAAACTGTAAAGGAGTACACAGTGAAGTATAAGAAAGTCTTTAAAACCTTATCTCTGGGCTCTAAACTCATGAATTTCCTCCTGAATATTACAGTTGTTATAAATTAAACTTTTAACAAAAGGAACCTGAGCCACTTCTCTCTTTTGAGTCTGTTCCACTCTCCATCTCAAAAAAGGCATCCATGACTACCATATGTGCATTCTAGAAACACAGCAGCCACCCCTGAAAACTGTTCKCTATTTTCCCACTTCCAATCTACCCTAAATATACATGAATATACCCCCAGAACTGTCCCTCTTCCTTTTTCTCCTTCATCCCAGTATAAGACACTACTTTGCTAGGACTGCTTTTGAACTAGTCTCTTGCCTTCATTCTTGCTGCTTTCCACTCTTCATATAACAACCAGGGTGATTTATTAAAATGTGAATTGTATCTTAAGATTTAGCTCCAAGCCCTTCCAGTGGCTTCTCATTACACTGATGATACCATTYTAAATCCACACAGGCCTATAGGTTGTGTGGTGCTCTGGCCTCTACCAACCTCTCCAGGCACACCTCTCCCCACTGTGTGCTGTATTTCAGATTCACTAACCTTTGAATCCAGTGTTTTCTTCTGCCTTAGCCTGCAAGTATGCTTCCTTTCCCTCTGACTGGAACATGCTACCTCCCCATTTTCTTAGTTAACTTGTTTTTGTGCTATAACTCTATAACTAACTCCTTAAGTTATTCTTGGTTTTATAAGTATTAAGTTAACTTTTGGCCTGAAAATCTGAGGAAGGTTCTAATCTGATTAAAGATTACTATTAGGGATATCTGCCTTTTCCCTCTTACTATTCAGCATCTCAGTGTCCTCCCTGTACTTCCTGTCTTAGGAATTCTTGACCTTGGGAGGCTTGCTGGGATCTCATACCTGATTTCCACAATCAGGCCAGATTCTTTCTTTCTCTGCTTTTCCTGCTTGATGGTGTAGACACCTCACCTTTGCTCAGGTACTTGGACTTCAAAGCTGGAATGTTGAAACTGAAACAAATTATGCAAAGTTGCAGAGACAGTGGGGACCTTAGTCTAGTGGTAGCTGCAACAGTGCTAGCTTCTGCTAGCAGAAGAGCATCTTCCTCTGAGGTCCAGTGTTGTTGAAGAGCAACCTCTTGAACAGAATATTGTCTGAAATGATTCTGTTTGTCCATCTTTGTCTGCTTTGTGAAAGTATTTTCCCAAATGTCTTGCACCCCTGGGACTTATTCATTGAGCTACTCCAGATCTTCAAATATATATATATATTTTTTCTGGCTACATCAACCAGAGCTTATTTGATTTCTTTCAACCAAGAACATTGACAGAGTTAAACTTTGAAAGCCAAATGATACTTTCTAATATGTGTTAAGATTGTTACTAATCATAAACTTCTTCCGTTTGTGAATTAGTAATATAGGGAAGGTAATTTTACTTTCAAGAAAACTTTTGGAAGTGTATGTCTATATCTGTTAATATTGGATAGATAAATTCTGATACTATGCTGTCTTGACAACATATTAATGACTTTTCATTTTGGTCTTTGTGCCCATAGGTAGTTTGAGCAAGAAGATGGTGTCTCTGCCCCTCCCATGGCCACTTGCAAGCATGTTATTTCTACTTTCCTCGCTCTTGACTCTGACAACTCCTTCATGGTGTCAGAACAGTGATGCTACATCTCCAAAAGCAAGTGATGGGACGCCATTTCCTTGGAATAAAATGCGACTTCCTGAGCATGTCATCCCAGTTCATTATGATCTTATGATCCATGCAAACCTCAGCACGCTGACTTTCTCAGGATCCACAGAAATAGAGATCACAGCCAGCCAGCCCACCAGTACCATCATCCTGCATAGTCACCGCCTGCAGATATCCAAGGCCACTCTCAGGAAAGGAGGTGCCTCGGAGAGGGCATCTGAAGAGCTGCTGAGAGTCCTGGAGTATCCCCCTCACGAACAAATCGCACTTCTGGCTCCGGAGCCACTCCTCACAGGACTCCCATAYACAGTAACCATTGACTTTGCTGGCAATCTGTCTGAGAGTTTCCATGGATTTTATAAAAGCACCTACAGAACCAAGGAAGGGGAAGTGAGGTGATTTAAAATGTTTTAAGCTTCAAGTGCCGCCTGCTCTAAATCCCTTCTTTGTTTCTTTCTTTTTTAAAATATTTTGTTTGTTTATTTTTATGGGGTGTTGAGGATTGAACCCAGTACCTCACAGATGTGAGGCAAGCACTCTGTCACTGAGCCACAGCCCCAGATTTTAAATCAAAATCCATTATATCTGATGGGTTTTCTTTTAAAACCCCCTCTTTATTGTTAAACTCAAGTGAGTTTTGTTTTTACATTTTCTTTGTGGCATTAAAAATGGCCAATGTTTTTTTTCCCTTTCTCTTTTAAAATCTCATTTTTATTCTATTTTGATTATTTTCTTTCCACCAGCTTAATCAGAGCAAATAGTAATTTGTTTCATTAGATTTCTGAGACCACTGAACATTTTAAATTCTTTTGGGTACACATTAGTTTCCTAGGGCTGTTGTCACAAAGTACCAACAACTATGTTTCTTATTAAAAAAAAAAAAAAGCCAAAGAAAAAAGACACTTATTTATCAGTTTTGGAGGGTGGATGTCTGAAATCAAGGTGTCTGCAGGCCCATGTTTTCTCTGACTCAGGTACAACCCTTCTTTCCTCTTCCTAGCCCTGGTGGTGGCCGTCGATCCTTGTRACCATTGAGCTTCATCTTATTGCTCCATCACTGCTCTCTTGTCACAGGGACACTTCCATTATCCCTTCAGAAATCAGTCATATTAGATTAGTGTCCAGTCTGATGGCCTCTTTCTAACTTTATTAAATCTGAAAAGACCCTATTTTCAAATAAGGTCATGTTTGCAGAGACTAGGGGTTTGAACATCAGTATATATTTCTGGAATCACAATTCGACTCATGACAGCCCATTAGAGGAAAGATTTTTTTGAAGCTAGAGGTGTTCAACCATTGAGTCACATCCCCAGCCTTTTTTTTGTATTTTATTTAGACATAGGCCTCAATGAGTTGCTGAGCCTGGCTTTRAATTTGCAATCCTCCTGCCTCAGGCTCCTGAGCCTCTGGGATTATAGGCATGTACCACCATGCCTGGCTTTTAAATATTTTTACCTCAATTAAAATATTTTACAGTGCTCCATTGCCTTGCTTTGGTTCTGCTTTTAAGAAAATATATATTTGGGGAAGTTTTACACTAAACTTTAAAATCAAATTTTCATTGTTAGTTAAGTTTCATTGATTTTATTTTATCAAGTAAAAAGTTAGCTGCTACCAAAAAGAATTGTGTGTGTGTGTGTGTGTGTGTGTGTGTGTATGTATGTATGCATTACTGGTGATTGAACCCTAGGGTACTCTATTACTGAGCTATATCCCCAGCTCTTTCTATTTTTTATTTTGAGACAGAGTCTTGCTAAATTGCTTAGCCTGGCCTTGAACTTGCAACCCTTCTGTTTCAGCCTCCTGAGTAGCTGGGATGACAGACATGTGCCACTGTGTCTGACCCMAAAATATTTTTTTATATTTATATATGGGAYAAAATATATTTTATATTTTTATATGGGATAAAATTTATCCCATAGTCCCCAGAGATAATATTTCTGTTATAAGAAACTTCTCTCTGGATATGCCTAAATGTTATTTTATGTAAATGGAATTATGTKATATTTTCTGTTTACAAGGGAGTTTTTAAAATTTAATACATCGAGAAGATGTTTTATATCAATGACTGTCACTGTATATCATTTTAATAACTATTAAAATACATGTTTATATGTTAATTTATTTAGCTAATCTCCCATGTATGGAAATTGTTTCCCACTTTTCACTATCAGCAACACTTTGATGAAATCTATAAATCATTTCTTTACAATAAATGCCTATAAGTAAAGTTGGTAAGTCAAAGAATCTCCAAAGTGATGGATATCCCTTGTTATACCTTTACATTCCTCATTAATATGTTTATTAGCAATCTTTTTAGAGCAAAAGACCCTTAATTTTTATTACTTTATTAAGACAGTTGAGCAGCACCTAGGTTGGTTCTATAGCTTAGCTATGGTGAATTGACCATATTGATGTGGTCATGTCACTGTAAATAACTTGTCGGTTCTTCTTTTGTGAATTGCCGGTTTAGTCAGAGATTCCACTTGCTCATTGGATATTTTCTTACTAATTTTTAAGTGTTCACTATCTTTTAAGGCTCTTAACTCTTCCTCATGTGTTTTTCTAGGCATTTCCCTGGTTTTTTACTTCTCTTTTAATTTAGTTTGTAAGAGGTTTTGTCATATTAATATTTTAAAAATATTCATTTACTAGTGAAATCCACTAATCTTATGTTAACTTCAGGAATTAAAAAGCAGACAAAAACCTATTTTGGAGCCCTTAGTGTATCATACTCAATTTTATTTTCCTTGCCATGATTTCAGGATACTTGCATCAACCCAGTTTGAACCAACTGCAGCTAGAATGGCCTTCCCCTGCTTTGATGAACCTGCCCTCAAAGCGAATTTCTCCATCAAGATCCGAAGGGAGCCAAGGCACTTGGCTATCTCCAACATGCCATTGGTGAGTCTGAACTCCTGCATATTGGCTCACAGAAAAGTCTGTTGCTTCTTCTGGGACTTGCATTACCCCAATAACAGTTAACAGTGGAGTTTCTTTTATTCCATGACAGATAGTTGCTAACTTTTCCTTTTCATTTCCAATGCATGTTTTTGTTTTAAGCTATAGTTCATTTATAGTCAAAGAAAAAATTGCCCCTAAAAATTCCAAGGTTTCAGTATTAATGCCATTCCAGGTTATCAATGCTGATAGAAAGGAAACTTTAAGTACTTTGGGTCAGGTTCCAATGACAACGACCTCCACAAAGCTCTTTCATCCTCATCTTCTTGTGACAGGATTTTAAAGAAAATATTTTGTCAAATAAGGCCATGTTTCTAGTATAAACCCATTTTTAAATAATATCCATTTACAATATACTAATAATAACTATACAATTTATAAGTATATGTGCAAAGTTGGGCAGACAGAAAAGTAATCTTTTCAGAATGTTATGATGCCGGAGGTAGATAATGATAATAGATAGCTGCCTTAAGAGAAGTCATTATCCTCTAATGYGCACAGCACTCCTGATTTTTGAAAGTGGCCAGAAGATGACTATGCCAAAGGACTGAAACTACTCATTAAGTGCCATCATCCCTTGATTCTGGAAGCTTGGATAAGCATGTGCCAGCTTTTCTTCTGCAGCTGGTGCACACCAGCTCCTGGATGTACATTGCTTTGTTCAGAAATGTTCGTCAAGGACAAGACTCGGTGGAATGGCCTTTGCCTAGAGACTTAAAGACTGTCCAGCTTTATCCCTACGATGACAGGGAAGCAATATCTTAGCATGAAGAGACACTGAGTACCAGAGACCTTAAAATTCTCAACCTTAAACTCTATCCACCTTTAAATATCTTAAAGAACACTTTCTAACAAAATTCTGGCCCCTGAAAGGGCTGTTCTCCATACAAGGTACTCTTCGGCAAACTCAGATCAGCTGAGAACTTTGTTCCTCTTCCCAATTTTGGACATAAAAATATAAGAAACAATTATTCCACTTTCCAAATACAAATTTGAGATAGAAAATATGCCTTTCAAGTCAAAATCTTCTTGCCCAAGCAGTACTTGGGCATTGTTTCATGAAAGAGGAATGCATAAGRAGTAACAGTTCTAGGAGAAAAAGGAACAGACATAGGATGGAGATGTGCAAGAGATTGAAAGAGCAAGCAGAGTTAGTGGAGAAATCCCATGGACCTGCAGAAAGAAGGCAAAGAGCTCTGGAGACTCTACAAAGATGCTGGAGTCTAGCCATGGATATGCAGGACCCACCTGTGGAGGACAGAAATATCTCCAATGCAATTTTGGAAAGCCTGGGACAGATAGAATATGATAGGAGTGGCCTGACCTCTGGCTGCAGATGTAAAGCTGAGGGGAAGGAAAGGGGACATTTTTGGAGACTGGAAAATCAAATATTGTATAACACTGAAACATTGCAGTGTTCAGGAAGTAAGCAGGAATTAATCACGTTTAAATTTGAATTAGTATAATCAGGTTGTCATCCTGATAGCACAACATTAAAAATGGAAATTTTGGTTGGGAGTATGTAGAAGGCATTTGAAAATAAGAGATAATTTGGGATCCTTAAAGAGTAAATCTAGCTTGTGTAGCAGAATTGGTTTAGACGACTGAGAGGTGAGAAGAAGGTATATGGCTAGGGCTGGTAAGTATAAGAAGAAGGACAAGGGTATACAAATAGGGGCAGGTATGGGATTACAGGAAAAATGCTTGTTGACATGGTTTCTCCAGGCTAATTATGACTTTTTTTTTCCCCCTCTACAAGATCCTACCTCAATACTTCCTGTTGCTGAGGTGTTAAGACTTTCTCCTTTGATCTTAGACTGCTACCCCAATCAAGCCCKCTCGAGCTGCAAGGGGTTGTGCTTAAAATGCTGATTGCACTTAAAAGCTGATTCCAGTGAGACGTATCTGAGTTTGGGAGAGACTTTACAGATCCTCATGGGCATAGTTCATTTCCATTTGTATGGAAAACAGAAGCTCTTTTTTGGTAGGACATGGTTATATATTTGCCTAGTGAAGAGTATATTAGACATTGCATTTCTCAATAATTAGGGACAAGTGGACCTCATCTTGGTAAAASCAGCAGATTCAGTTTTGTTTTGTCCCAAATACATGTTATAAACTAACATGTATTAAATAAGAGTCAGTTTGAAATCATCTTGGTTACTTGGAAGAAGTTAAGGGTTGATGATTGCACAATTTCAGGAGTATACTAAAAACTATTGTATTATATATTTTAAAGAAGCGAATTTTGTGGTATGTGAATTGTATCTCAATAAAAAAAATTGAGTCGAATGGTCTGACTTTAATATCTAAATTATAATAGATATTAGGTAGAGAAGTTTTGAAGTAACTGTAGAAATATCATGTCATATACATTTGATATTATATCTGGTGATTAGGGAAATTTCTCTTATGTGTTCAGTGTTTTGAATTGGATTACTTGGTAATATGATTTACTCTGATTTTAGGTGAAATCAGTGACTATTGCTGAAGGACTCATAGAAGACCATTTTGATGTCACTGTGAGGATGAGCACTTACCTGGTGGCCTTCATTATTTCAGATTTTGAGTCTGTCAGCAAGATGACCAAGAGTGGAGTGAAGGTGAACCTGTGATTGATGCATAGGTTGACCAAGCTGTTCTTGTTTGCCTGGCTAACCTGGTTTTAAAACTGGAAGCCCTGGATCCTGGGAAATCCCTTAATCTTGGGCAAGGATAGTTGTTGGCTCTGTTATCACAAATGTTCCTTTTTTATGTTTGCTTCTGGAGATTGAACTCTCAGGGATGGTTTTCCACTGAGCTACACTCTAGTTCTTTTTTATTTTGAGATAGGGTCTACCTTAGTTGCTTAGAATCTCACTAACTCACTGAGGCTGACCTCACACTTGTGATCCTTCTGCCTCAGCCTCCAGGCCATTAGGATTACAGACCTGTGATATGGTGCCCAGCTACAGATATTCATTTTTATAGTGAGGATGGGGATATAGCTCAGTGGTAGAGTGTTCACCTAGCATGTGTGAGGTCCTGAGTTTGAGCCTCAGTAACACACAACATACACACACACACACACACACACACACACACAAAATAGAAATGAAGATTAAAACTATATCAAGCTACCATTTTGGGGGCTGGGGATATAATTTAGTGGTAGAGCACTTGCCTAGCATGCACCAGGTCCTGAGTTTGATGCTCAGCACCTAAAAACAAAGAAACAAACAAACAAACAAACAAAAACAACAAAAAACAACACCCAATTTACACACTTTAAAGAAGTATAATCTTAAGTTTCAAAAGGAGCAAAAAAACAGTTAGTGGTAAATCCAGGTAGATCAGGCCAGGCCAAACTCTCTGTGTTTTATTATTAGAACCCCACAGTAAAAATGAACATCTGTAGTGAGGCACCAGCTGCAGTTCTCTGCAGAATTAGAAGTTGCTGCTGTCACTTTGCTTTTGACCTTTGAGTATTCCTTTCTTTTTTRACCACCTTATGAACACGTTTAAAAAGATATTTTTGTAAATATTATGCAGCATTTGTAGTTGTTTTCAGAAAGGAAGTCAGCATGAAATTTCTAATTGTCTTCTTTAACACTGACAATCATATCCAACTATAGGAAGCCATTGATGTCAGTCTTCTCTACAGTTGTAGGGAGAAGCCACTATGATATTTGAATATCTTTCTGTGCCTTTCTCTCTAGGTTTCTGTGTATGCTGTGCCTGACAAAATAAATCAAGCAGATTATGCATTGGATGCTGCAGTGACTCTTCTAGAATTTTATGAGGATTATTTCAGCATACCATACCCTTTACCCAAACAAGGTAGAGATTTCACACAGATATTTCAAAGTGGCATTTGATGACCCCAATCATTGATTATATTCTTTCCATTGGCTCACCCCAAGGTTCTATAGCTGCTCCTCATGTCCTCAAAACCCCAGCGTTAAACATCAGATTGATCCTTCTTATCACCTCCCCTCTGATTGATAAAATAAACTTCTAATGATAGTAAAAGCAAATCTCAATACAGTTCTTGAGGCATGTGGCATGGGAACTACTTTGCCTTCTGATATTATTAGCCAGCAGATAGCAGAGTGCAAAGGCTGTTTTTTTTTTTTTTTTTTAAATTGGTACATGCTTAGCAAGTATATAGAAGGTGCTCAATAAATTTTTTTGAGTGAACAAATTTACACAAGTTTAAGAGATTCTGCATTTTATTTCTTATACAATACCTTAAAACTATAGTGTCTTTGAGTTTTTAGTTATATGTGTGTGTCTTAGGTATTCAAAATAGAATGGATTACTGAGGTACTTGTTCAGATTACTCAGCCCCAAAACTCATGGTCAGAAAGCTAGAAATAGAGTCAAATGACCTGAGACACAGTTTAGCTTGGTCAATTTGGAAGAAAAATGACTCYGAGTCACTGAGTGCCTTTTTCTCCGTTAAGAAGGGTTCTTCCTATCAGGAATTCCATATTTCTGCACAAGTAGCTCAGCTTTTCTTTTGGTCCTAACTTTCATCCATTCTGATGCTTAACGTGTTGGGGGAATGTGCAGCTTTGTGATTGGTAATACATTGTACTACTTCCTTCCCAAGATCTTGCAGCTATTCCTGACTTTCAGTCTGGTGCTATGGAAAACTGGGGACTGACAACATACAGAGAATCTGCACTGTTGTTTGATGCAGAAAAATCTTCTGCATCCAGTAAACTTGGTATCACAATGACCGTGTCCCATGAACTTGCCCACCAGGTATACAACCTCAGACACTCTTCTTAAAAAGTATAGTTAAAGGCTGGGATTGTGGCTCAGTGATAGAACACTTGCTTACCATGTGTGAGGCACTGGGTTCRATTCTCAGCACTGCATACAAATAAATAAATAAGATAAAAAATTTCATCAACAACTAATAAAAATATCTTTTAAAAAAGCATAGTTAAATGTTTATATTGCTTTTGTGGGACATATGAAGTAATTCATTTATTTTTAGTTTTTCTGTTTTCTGCCATAGGAAAATAATTTCTTTAATAAAGTTTCATGTTTTTTAATGCATATTGAAAAGTTTTCATTTATATTTTGATAAAACATTTATTATATAAGTACATTTTAGTATTCATAAACAGACTTAGACATTTAAAATATTTCTTTCTAAGTGTGTGGCGTTTCTGTCTGCCATTATAGGTAAGTTAATCCAGTCTCCATAGAAATGTGTGAATGAGCTGAACTGTGCTTTCCTTTCAGTGGTTTGGGAACCTTGTTACAATGGAATGGTGGAATGACCTTTGGCTAAATGAGGGATTTGCCAAGTTTATGGAATTTGTGTCTGTCAGTGTGACCCATCCTGAGCTCAAAGTTGTGAGTTGTTATTTATGTTTTTGCATGAGAGCTTAATCTGTGGGTTTGTTCACTGCTGCTGGAAATATTTTCTAATCTTTGATTATAGAATTTATAGAAATATTTCATGAATAAGTACCCTGGAAGCTTAGATATGAATCACATTTCAAAAATGCTAGTGAACTTTCAATATTTATCACAGACTAATTTTTAAACTTAAATGTTGACCCCTGATTGTTATGAAATTAAGTGTTAAATTGTATCTACCCTTAATATAAAAAAAATAGAAATAACGATGGTCTAAATGTTCCATATCATTTTTCCAACTTGTAGGTTGCTGGTTATAGAAGTATTTATTGTTATTATCTCAACAAAACCCTTCTTGGCAAATCACAAGTTATACTGAGTATCAGATACATTCTCAGATTACAAACTTTATGCTTTGGAACTGCTGTTTATTTGTTTTAAAAATCATATGTTACACTTGAGAAAATCACATGTACCAAAATTAAAATGAACTATTTTATGTAAAAAAAAAATCTTTACCCTACTACAGTTCTTTTCTTTTATGTATATTCACTACTTCCCATTTTCTCTCACAATTTACTTATACATAGTTAAAATAGAAAGTACATATAGCTATACTATAATGGGTCATAAAAATATTCCTATTTCTATAATAACCTTCAATAATAAAAATTATTATGAATGCATGTTAGTCAATTGAGTTAATGTGCCATATAAAGTTAAGGCTGGAATTTGTTCTCTATATTTTTCTTTAACTATATGGTTTTAAAGCTAAATATGTCTGTTTCTAAATAATACAGATGATTAATGGAAATGTTGAATCACTTAACATTTTACTTTCCTGTTTGGCTATAGGCGGATGATTTTTTTTAGAATAATATGAAATGTTCTTTATTCTAAAATGATATGTATTTAAAATGAATAAAGTCTAAAATAATTTTATTTTCCTGTAATAGGAAAATAATTTCTTTAAAGCATAGTTTCATAAAGCATATTTAAAAATTTTTCACTTTTATTTTGATAAAACATTTGTTCTATAAATACATGTTAATATTCATAAATAGACATTAGATGTTTAAAGTATTTCTTTTTGAGTGTGTTATGTTTCTGGCTGCCATTATAGATAACAGTTTAATCTTGTCTCCATAGAAATGTGTGAATGAGCTGAGTTGTGCTTTCCTTTCAGTGATTTGGGAACTAGTCAATATGGATTGATGACTTAAAATGGTCACCTAAAATCACTGTTTTGTGGACTCTCTTTAGAAAGCATAGTCATTCTGTCTTATTTCATAAATACTAGAAAAGGAGTATTTTGGCACAAAATTRGAAATGTAGACCTGTGAGCTCAGATCAAACCTTCCTCCTTTCATAATTTTAAATGTAAGTTATAGATGATGTTTTCTTTCTTTCTTTTTTTCTGCCTTAATAGGAAGATTATTTCTTTGGCAAGTGTTTTGATGCAATGGAGGTTGACGCATTGAATTCTTCACACCCTGTGTCCACACCTGTGGAGAATCCTGCTGAGATTCGAGAGATGTTTGATGATGTGTCTTATGAAAAGGTAAAAATGGATTGTATAGGTACAGGTTTTTCTTTTTCTTTTTCTTTTTATAAGGGAATAGTTTGTACACTAAACTTATTAAAACTGGAGTGAAGAGGTCATAGGTAAAGCTGTTTTTATGTAAAAAATCAGATTGCTGCTTTTCTTAAGAAAAGAAAAAAGGATTTGGCCAACACTGGGCCTGTATTTCCTTTGGCAACATAAACTGGAGCTAAGTGGTGGCTTCTTCTTTCCGAGATCAAGGCTCTGTATTTCCACTTCACTTCTATCCCCAACTCTATTGTCTTCTCCTCACTGAGGCTGAGAATGTGTTGCCATTTGTCCTGGTGTTTGTCTGTAGTTGTAGCAAACASGGCAGTATTTCTTATTTACATGTTTCCATCAAAAGTACAGGGAAGGAAAAAAAAACATAATGTAAAAGAGTATGCTCTTAGACAAGTTCCCTCATTTATTCCATCTGTCATTTGTCACTGGAAACATCTGAGTTTGTGACTTATGATCTATGGCAATGGGGGTTAAGTGAGGAAGACAGCTTTTTACAATTACAGTGTGCCTGGGAATTGTCTTGCCCCACTCTCCTTGTTACTCCTTGTTACTCTGTGCTCAAGGYTGCCTGGGCTCCCTCTCTGTAGTTGCCCACCATTCGTCACCTGGCACCTACTCCTGTTTTTATCTGTGGAGCTCCGCCCCTTGTGATACCTGCCTCTCCCACCCATGCCTTGGAGTGGCAGTGGGAGAGCTAGGTAGTGGTTCAGAGTGCAGCGTTTACTCTGCATCCTCATCCACTCACACTGAATAAAGGGTGCTGGCAGTTAATTCTGATTTGCCCCAAGGTAAGCTTGGCTATATAGAAAGTAACAGCCCCAATGAGTCTGGAGCATTAAAAAAAATCACATTAGACAAATCTGTTTCTTGGGCACCTCAAAGGTTAATTCACTTACTCTGTTTCACAAACTGCCATCATTAAAAATGTTACTGTGGCTGCTTTCTAAAAGAATTACGGCAAAAAAAAAAAAAAGAGGTTCAACCAAACTACATGTAACAATTATTTCTATATCTTTTCAGGGAGCTTGTATTCTGAACATGTTAAGGGATTATCTAAGTGCGGATGCATTTAAAAGTGGAATTGTGCAGTATCTCCATAAGTATAGTTACAAAAACACAAAGAATGAGGACCTGTGGAATAGCATGGCAAGCGTGAGTGTGCATTTGATTGTCTCCATACTTGAGATGGACAGGTTTATCATCTTGTTTTGTTTTGCCTTCTCCTTCTGAGAAGAACCATGAGCATTTTCTACAGAAGTGTAATSTGCTTGGTTTTGGTGTTTAGATTTGTCCTACGGATGGCTCACAAACAATGGATGGTTTTTGCTCTAGAAGTCAGCATTCCTCTTCAACCTCAGTAAGTGTCTAAATCTGTACATGTTCTCCTGAGCACGTTGTCTAACTTCATTTTTTTTTTTAAAGAAAATCATTCATGTAGACCATGAGTCTTTATTTTTCTACATTTATTATGCCATGAATTCATAGGGAATAGGTTCCACCACCTCAGGCTCCTTTCCATTTGTTCTCCCTAAATGTACTTCTCTGGGTGGTATGGGATGGCRCTTCAGCTGAACCCAGGTACCTTTCTCTTTGGCTTCCTTCTTTKTCTGATCATTTTCCTTTATACATTTCAGGAAGCTGTCTCAGCTCTTAGAGTGCTTAATATGCTCAATATACACATTAATTCTCTTGGCAAGAATCTTGCCTTTAACCTGCTTATTCACAACAAGGCCAACAGCATGCTGGGTAACACTGTAGACTCTCCCAGTTTTGCCATGATAACATTTGTGGGGCATTCCTTTCTGAACACTCCCTTAATGCCTACAATATCACCTTTCTTGTAGATTCACATATATGTAGCCAAAGGAACAACTCCATGTTTTCTAAAAGGCCTASAGAACATAAATGGGGTTCCTCTCCTCTTTCCCTTGTTTTGACCATTTTGGCAAATTAYTGGAAGATGACAGTTCCAGCTGAAAAGAAGCTCTAACTTGATATTTTTTGAAGGATATTAGCTCTGTGTCAAACTTTATGAATTCCCTGATTATTKTCCCTCAATCTAATGCCACCAAACTCAGCCTTTTGCAGTTTTCTTAAGTGTCTATACAAGAGGGTGGCACAGCCTTCTTTGGTGATAATTGTCACTGATACTAATTTCTYTCATTTCACTCTATGTAAAGCAGTTTCTTTTGTAGATTGAGATGCAGTGTATTAGTCAGGAGACAATGACAGTCATTCCAGGCTCTGCACTAGTGAAAAAACAAATAATGGCAATGGTGTTCTTGAACATTTACTGTATATCAGGCATATGCTAAGCATGTATGTATATTATCTCCTTTACTTTTCACAACAAACTCATGATCCAAGCACCATCACTATCTTTATATGTGGGAATATGAAATCCAAAGGCATATGGTCGATAAATTGCAGAGCAAGGATGTGAATTTAGATCTAACTTATGTTTTTTTTTTTTGTTACTGCTTACACTATAAAGTATTTATAACATCTGAGTAACAAAATGGTTTGATTATTTATCTGGACTTGTGGAATATTTTCATAGGCAAATCACTTATGGGTGAATTTGGAAATTCAACAAAATTTTATCTACTCTATTTTTATTTTCTTAGCTTTTTAAAAATAGACTGCTTTATTCACGTTTCCAAATTTATCCTGTAGCATATTTTATCCTTTTACTAGCTCTTAAATCTTTTCTTAAAAAGCTTTTTTAGTATCCAAGAATGTATTCCCTTTTGAACTTATGACATGAGCCATCTCTATGTTATCACTTTGGAAACATAGGCTCTTGGGTGAATGCTTTTTCCGTCCTTGCTTGTCTGAGAACCTGCATAATTATGTAGGTATTGAAAAYCTGGTCACTTTCTCTCCCTTCTCTCCCCTCATTGATTCATTTTTGTGCCTGCTTGGTGTCAAGGCTATGCCAGCCCCAGGGTATACCCAGCAGGCCCAAATATGCTACCTGCCAGGACATAAGTGTAGTGGAGGAGACTGAAAAGTATACAATCCATGCTGTAACCCAGATGTGCCATGTTGGGAACACTGGGGTAAGGGAGTCAGGGCAGGAGGCTGGAGAGTAGAGTAAGGGATCAGGGCTCACAGAGGAGATTGTCAGTTAGTAGCAATCCTTTGAATGCAGGCTGGCCTGCTTTCTTAGGTTTGGGTCTAAGTGAGTAATGCATCTGTCCTTTTCTGTATAATTCAGCATTGGCATCAGGAAAGTGTGGATGTGAAAACCATGATGAACACCTGGACCCTGCAGAAGGGCTTTCCCCTGATAACCATCACAGTGAGAGGGAGGAACATACACATGAAGCAAGAGCACTATATGAAGGGATCTGACTCAGAAACTGGGTAATGTTCATGGAAGGAAACTCATTTTGTTACCTAGGTAACATCTACCTGATAGGATAAGATCTTACTTTTGGAAAAATGCCTTTACTTCTATTGCTAAAGTATTTCAATGGAATCTACATGCCCTATAAAGTTGGCTTATAATTCCTATCTTCCTGAAAGGATAAGGAGGCTTTATACCTTGGTTAATCTTGGTTAAGCTGATATTAAATAATTATTTTAACATGCTCATGTTTTTTTTAGTTTAATAGGATGTACTTTCTAGTAACTGGCTTGAAATCAACTGTGATCTAAGCACCTGCCACTGAATTTCAACAGGGTTTGGCATTTAGGTTGGTGCAAGGAGAAAAGAACTTAGATTATTTCTGGGAATTATGAGAGACCCGATTCTTTTCTTTGGAAGTCCAAGTTAAATCCTGGAAATGGTCAGCTTAATGCCACAGAAGAATACAAGTAAAAATGAGATGCTACAATTCGATTGACAATGGATGGACATTATGTAAAAATATTTGTTTTATCTTGAAATAATTTCATGCTTATGGAAATGTTGCAAGAATAGTGCCAAGAATTTCCATGACTTATGCTTTACCAAGACTTATGTTAACTCTATACATATGATATATATGGTTTTTGAACTGTTTGAGAGCAAGTTGGAGACATGATACCCCTTTGCTCCTAAGTATTTGTATAGTATTTACAAAAAACCAAAAACATTCACTATATAATCATAATATAATTATCAAAATTAGTAAATAAACTTTTATTTAAAAGTTTATTTATATTGACACAATACTTTTATTTAAACTCCAATCAACTTTTCCAGTTGCCCTAAAAATACCTTTATATTAAGATAGAAAAATATCTGCTTCAAGATTCAATATAGGAGTACATATCATATTTGTCTCATTGTTTTAGTCACCTTTTATTCTGAATCAATTATTCAGTCTTTGTGTTTCTTGACATTCTTGAAGAGTATAGCCAGTATAGGATATTCTAATCTTTTAATTGTGTTTTCTACTGTTTTTTCATGATCAGATTCAGATTGTGCATCACAGACAGAAATTCCACAGATATGACGTTGTATCCTTCTGAGTATATGATTTAGAAGGCACATGATATCAATTTGTGTCTGTACATGGTCACTGTTTTAAATTAGGTCTCTGGCCTCTAATCACCAATCACTTAAGTCCCAATTCCCAGTTCTGCTCAAGGAGTCCGAGAAGGATGAATAGTGCCTGAACTGGAAAACAGTCTGGATATATTTTGAGATCTTGGATACAGCAGTTTTTATACCATCTTGTTCTAAGCTAGCCAGTGCCTAGTGTATGGCAGGTGATTTAAAAGCTGTTTGTTGAATGAATAAAAATATAAAGAATCTATCCTCCTTCCTTTTAGGTACCTATGGCATGTTCCATTGACATACATTACTAGCAAATCAGACTCAGTTGGTAGATTTTTGCTGAAGACAAAGACAGGTAACTTACCATGAAAATTAAACTAGTTGAACTAAAGGAACTGTAGAAATGTGTAAGATTTAAACACTAAGTTTCTTTTGCTGCTTATCTTGGTTAAAACAAAAGGGATTAGGTTAAAATGTTGAAGAATTGCCAATGTAATGCCTGATAGAAATTAAAACAATTGAGCTATGTAATGTGAAAAAGGAGGGATTACCAATGAAAATTCTCATTACTTTGTTAATACTACTGGGGCCTATAATATGTATGGTCAGAAATGCAGTTGCATTGCTTTCATAAATCTATAAATCTCACAAAATTTGTGTCTAAAGCTGGTGTTGGCTTTTGTCTATGGGTTGCGGTTGTCTGTTTCCTAAAAGGAATAAGTGATTTTAATTTGTTCGATATTAAACTTTTCTCTAGTTTCCTTGTCCAGTCTCTGATCAGAAAAGCTTTCATCAGTCAAGATAGTAAATGGAACTATGATTTGTTTTATTTGCTGTAGATGTGCTCATCCTCCCAGAAGCAGTGGAATGGATCAAATTTAATGTRCGAATGAGTGGCTATTACATTGTACATTATGAGGATGATGGATGGGATTCTTTGACTGGCCTTTTAAAAGGGGCACACACAACTATCAGCAGTAATGATCGGGCGAGTCTCATTAACAATGCATTTCAGCTTGTCAGGTAATACAAGCTGTGCAAAGTCCTGGTTTATTTCTAAAAGCAGCTGTTATTACTCAGATTCTTGATTCTAAAGATGAAAGTGATTGATTGACTGCTAATGCGAAATTGAAAGGTGTTTCTTGTAAGTTCTTCTAGCAATCCAAGGTTGCTTTTAACTTTGTAATTAAYCTGCTGTCTATCTGTTACTGGTAGGTAACTTGAAGTATGGAATCAGTATTTTAACCTTTCTCATTAACAATTCAGATCAGACTGTGGTAAATGTGTAGAAAGCCAAGAGACAACATTATTTTTCCATCCTTAAAGCCTGGTCCTACAGCTTTCCCTTGTCCAGCTATGGCCTCTCAGGTTTCTTCCATGCTGGGTCTTTGACYACCTTGCAGCCATATTAAAGACCAAATATATCAGGCCCAGTTATTTGCATTGAATCTGTTGATGTAAAGGAGAGATTTGCTCTAAACAACAGATACCTGAACTTCAGAACATTTCTATGAATATAGCTCATWACATTTGGCCCAACCAAATGACCTTTGCATGGTTGAACAGAGAGTGAAAACTCTCCTTTTTCTTTTTTCTCCCATGACAATGGTTTTAAGGAAATGCTTGCCAAGCCTTAAACTTCTTCAATCTTTAGGCAGAACYGAAGTCTTAAGGGTAACCATCCAGGTGGGAAGGGGTAGCTCTGTTATTCATGCCCCATGTCCTTCTACCCTGAGTGATGATTCTCCCTTCTGGTCCTCCTACCATCTCACTGGTCCTTCTAAGGTGACAAAAAGCAATGGGGGAGGAGGGTTGCTTATTTGTTTCTTTCTAAGATTCTGCTTGAGTCTTAGAAGGTTTTTGCTTAATTATATAAGCCTATATGGTACGACTGAGACTTTGAACATCAACCCTCTATTAGRAAGAGTTTCTATGTGCATTCAGTGTCTTTTTGAAAGAGGCAAGATGTGCTTACACCAGGGATTCATACTTTTGCTGAATGGCAGTTTCTCTTGACCAGGTTTCCTAAAGGGTCTTTGATTGACATCCCCTTCTTACCCAGAAAGCTCAGCACACAATCCAGTGCTTCCTGAGGGACTTGCAGTTCATCTTAACCACAGGCTAGTCCTAGCTCTCTTAACGAAACTTCTTCCCCAGTGTAATCTTGCCAGACGTTATATGTGACAGAAAAGGTACTAATGTAAAGGTTATTATTTATGAGGGGCTCATATATGATTGTTTTGCTAGAAGATTGTTACATTTTTGAAGCAAAAAAGGTGATTTCCTGGATTTTCTTTTAAAACTGTAACCATGGTCTCTCTTGGTCAGCATCGGAAAGCTATCGATTGAAAAAGCCTTGGATTTAACCCTGTACTTGAAACACGAAACTGAAATTATGCCTGTATTCCAAGGTCTGAATGAGCTGATACCCATGTATAAGTTAATGGAGAAAAGAGATATGAATGAAGTGGAAACTCAATTCAAGGTAAAAACCTGAAGTAAATAGAAAAGTTTAATTATGTTTTGCTTTTCTTGTGTGTGAAAAAGCASTTACCTTCCTGTGTTTTTGTGTCTTCATATTAATATCAAGGAAAAGCCAATGAAAGTTCAGTATGTGGATTGATTAGCAAAGACTTTGATTTTATTTGGCACTAAAATAGGAATGGCTGTATTAGAATTCTATACTTAATTGTCATGGATTGTTATTCCCTTCCTTCACACACTTTTTATTTCACTTTACTTCTTTATTACAATGGGGAATATTAAGATTTTCTGGGACTGTCAGGGGTACCTGAAAGAAGCACAAAATTGTTACTTTTGACAAAATGTCATAAAGTTTTATTGTATAATTTGCTCTTTAGTTTAAGAGTGGTAGTTCATCTTACAATATCTTTAGGAAAGATTGTTAAGCAAATAATAAAACCACTCATGATTATTTCTTGWTTTTGACTCTTTTCATAATTAAATATAAACAGAGATGCACAGTTTAAAAAGTAAGATTTGAATTAAGCTTTAAAAATCAGTCCCCATTACCTGAGGGAGTGCTCGATTATATAAACATGAAATAGCCTGAGATATCATGCCACATGTCACTGTCCCCTGTCCTACCCCTGCAGGCTTTCCTCATCAGGCTGCTGAGGGACCTCATTGATAAGCAGATATGGGCGGATGAAGGCTCCGTCTCAGAGCGAATGCTGCGGAGTCAGCTTCTCCTCCTTGCCTGTGTGCGCAAGTATCAGCCTTGTGTGCAGAAGGCAGAAGGCTATTTTAGAGAGTGGAGGGAATCCAATGGAAATAAAAGGTCAGTCCTACGGAATAACCAATTTGTTAATGAAAAAGGTATCTTTCCTGTCCCCCAACTTTGGTGCTGACCAATGAGAAAAACGAGTATAGACATGTCTCCAATAACTGCCCTTTTTTGGAAAATAAATTGTTTTTTAAGATTTATCTCTCTATATCTCCCAACTTCCAGTTTTAAGAAATACTGGGAAGGAAATTCTGTGTAAGAAAGAGCCAAATATCTAYGTAATTAGAAAGGGATTATAATAATTCCCATTTTTGTATAGCTAAATGAAAATCTTATCAAACTGAGATGGCCAGACCACACTGAAAAAGAGGCAATGCATTTTATAATAGCATCTCTGGGCCTCTAAATTCCCTGACAGGGGTACCTGGTTATTGCTAACACTGTCTATGCAAGGTAGGATTCTCACCATATCTGGAAATCTCTATCTTCGTTCTTTTCTCTTTGAAGCTTAAATGCCATCCAGAAAACATGATGCCAACAATCTATATGCTGTGTTTAAAGAAATGCTTACAAAGCAGTGGTTCTATTGGATTCCTGACTTGCACTCATTGAAAAAAATTTGAGGCTATTTTGAATTTCTTTTGGCTTGAAAGGTGACCAACTATGGAGTCACTCAACATTATTAAAAGATGATAGATATATAGGTGTTTATAAAAATTACATTTCTCATTATGTTTTTGAGAAGGTTGCTTAAAACCTGATTTTAGATATTTTCTCTTGCTTCTTTTTTATAAAATGTAACTGAAGGAGAGCAGTAATTGTTGTGTATACTCCTAGGCATATTGTTGGAGTATGGGGCCAGTTCATCAGTTATTAATTGGTCATTGTTATGCATCTAAATGTACTTTCTGCATCTCCAGTTCTCACAGGGTGTGTTCTTTCCCACAGCCTGCCTAACGATGTGACCTTGGCAGTGTTTGCTGTGGGGGCCCAGAACACAGAAGGCTGGGATTTTCTTTATAGTAAATATCAGTCTTCTTTGTCCAGTACCGAGAAAAGCCAGATTGAGTTTGCCCTTTGTACAAGCCAAAATAAAGAAAAGCTTCAGTGGTGAGTCATTCATTCATGTTCCTATGGCCAAAGGAAATTAAATTAGATCAGATCATTCTGGCACCTATTTTTGTTCTCCTGGCCAGGAATTCCCTATTTTGCTCAGAACATTTGTGCAAGTGGGCACACATCTAATGAAAAAGGCAAATAATTAGGGAGAACCAGGTGTTGGGGAAAATATTTAAAGGAATATATATTGTRTATCTTTAAAGAAATAATGTACTTGGAATATTTACTAGATATACCCTTCTTAACTATTCTTTTGAGCAATTAAGAGGCTATATGAGGATTGGTATTATGAATGTGATTTAAATGTTTTTATTATTATGTTGCTATAGTGGGTTTATCAGGACTCTGGTTCCCAATTTACCTTTTGGGCCTTTATTATTGGCAGACTGGTTTGTTCTTTTACAAGTTACTTTATTGTAGTTTTTTTTATAACTATTTCATCACCTACTCATTGCTGACATTTCTTCTCTTAATCATTACAGGCTACTAGATCAAAGTTTTAAGGGAGATATAATAAAAACTCAGGACTTTCCATATATTCTTACACTCATTGCCAAAAACCCAGTGGGATATCCATTGGCCTGGCAGTTTCTGAGGGAAAACTGGAATAAGCTTGTACAAAAGTAAGTAATGCCAAAATGTCTTGCTGGGACTGGACAAGTTCTTTAACCTTCCTGCTTTAGCTTTGCTGTTTGTAAAAAAATAGTAATAGTCTCAAGGGAGTTTTTTGATTGATGATAGGAAGTAGAGGTACTTAAAATATCCACATAAAATGTAAAACCCTGTTTCAATGTTAACTAATACATCTGGATAGTAAGGTTTTCCATTTGGTCTGGAGTGACCCCTCCCCTGTACCCACTGGACTATCTGAAGTCATCCTCCTACAGGTCAGCCTTATTAACTGTTTGCATTTGCCTTTGTCTAACTCTTGTAGCACTGCCTAAATCTCTATCATTTCTTTTAGATACTTAATCTTTTATTCAGATGTTGGCATGTATTATATTTTACCACTAGATCTTAACTCATTGGAGGATAGAGACCGTATTTTACATCTTTTTCAGGCCTCATCAGTTTTCCGTTAAATGCTGTTACATATATGCTGAATGGATAAATATTTCACAATATATTTGAACAATTTCCATTTCTAGATTTGAACTTGGCTCRTCTTCCATAGCCCACATGGTAATGGGAACAACAAATCAATTCTCCACAAGAACACGGCTTGAAGAGGTAAAAGGGGGAAAAAAATCTTTTAAACTTAAGTGTCAATCAGCTACTAAATGTGGGAAGTCAAAATACTTTTAAAAGTTTGATGAACAAAAAATGGATTTTGTCATTTAGAAGCAGTTTGGCGTATTAACAAAAGCAAAAATTGGTTGCAAATAAACTAGTAAAAACTATGCCTTTTTTCAAACATGTTAAGTCTTTGCTCTGTAAGTAAAAATAGGGACATAAAAAGATACTTTGAGACAATAAGTCCTTGTTTAAGGAGTTAAAAGTGAGTGCTGGGGTTGCAAATGACTGAAGTGGTCATCAGCAGTCGTGAAAGAGATGGATCTGCAATCTAGRTTCTTCACTATCCAAGCTCATGGTCTCCCTTCTACTTATGGCATATACCTTCTACTTCCAGAAAGAATCTTAGGCATCTTATAAAATCCATCTGCAAAATAATTGTTAAAATTTAAAAAAGCTGTGTTAGGGACAGGAGATAACTGAATGAGGAACTATACTAAGAATAATTATTACCATCCTAACCCTAAATTTATCACAGAGTTTCCTAGCAGTCAGGYAAAAATGAGAAATCCACATGAGTTATTCTCATGTAAGAGGGAACATGAGACATACAAGTATTCTACAAAAGTAGACTTTCCTCCAGCTTAAACTGCTTGTTACACAGAAAATGTTCTGAGAAGGCAGGTTTGAGTCAAATACTCAGTTGATGTACTACATTTGCAAGGCAGATGAGGACAGAGAGAGTTTTGGATCAGGAAAGGGTTGACAGATGGCTTTGCTACCGCTTGTGAAGAGAGGCTATTTTCTGGTAGTGCTATCATGATGGGTTCCTTCAGGATTAATGAAATATTTTGACCAACTAATGAAATTACACATGTGCTTTGACCAAAGAGTACCCAACATGATTTTGAACGAACTGGGCATGTTGGGTACATCATCTTGGGTTCTGGAGAGTGAAACTAGGATGCGCTATAATACAAGGTAGAGCAGGAGGGGGTGGTCACCCCCAGTGAGACGTCCTGTGTTCAATTCATTGAGAAGTTGTACTGAGATGTAACTTTAAACAACTCTACCTCATTCTAAATTGGAATTTGAGCTTTCTAAACCCAATTATTACCCTGTCTCCCTTGCTTCTAGACTCATAATATGGTGTTCTGACATGGGTTTTTAGTTGTCTGGAATCCATGTTGAAAAAAARATACATCTTGGCCTACACTTGGCTTTCTCACTACAATATCGAAAATTTATGGATTAATGCTGTGAAAACGTATGGGGAAAGGTTAAGAACCCTTTAAGGTGAAATAAAATAGCACAAAGTTCAGTGCTGCAGCAAAGCTACCTATCCCCCATGTGAGCTCAAGGGGTTCAGATACCCAGAGGTGAAACAAAAACAAAGTATTTTTGAGGAGATAGCCAAGAGTCACTTCTTGTCTCTTTAAAAACTATGAGGAACTTTCTGTAGATTTTTATCTTGTGAGAACAATACATGAATTGTGGATTAGGACAAAAAAATTGGCAAAGCTTGGAGTCTTACCACCCTAACTTGCTAAGAGCCCTGTTCCCTACAGTGTTTCCATAATGACATACCAGACCAGGCCCGTGGAGAAAGGCTGCATTTATGTGGTTGGAACTGTTTTGCTTGGCAAAGAAGATACTCTGCATATTCTGCTTTTTAGATACCATGTTTTAAAAATATTGTTTGCATTTGTTTGTATAGAATAGAACACACATTAAATAGACACACTCAATTAAATCTTAATTATAAAATGGTAAACACAGTGCAGCCCTGGCAACTGTGAATAAATAAGAGTTGCAGAGAAAAAAACACAAAACCTGACATCATGAGGCATGAGCTCATTTAATGTAGCTCAAGCTTATGTGTACCTAATCATATCCAGACACCTGGGGCTGCCTTATATATAGAATTTTGACAAATGCTGAAATTTTGGCTTCAGTTATAATTAGCCTGGGGTTATATTTGCTTAATGTAATAAAATAAATTTTTAAAAAATATATCTTTTTTCTCACAAGGTAAAAGGATTCTTCAGCTCTTTGAAAGAAAATGGTTCTCAGCTTCGTTGTGTCCAACAAACAATTGAAACCATCGAGGAAAACATACGTTGGATGGATAAGAATTTTGATAAAATCAGAGTGTGGCTGCAAAATGAAAAGCTTGACCTGCTGTAACAATTCATTTCTTGCCAAGTTCCTATGATCTATAATCACCAGAATTTTGTTGAATGTGAATGTTTTCAAATAGCAATGGTCATTTTGGCTCCAGCTGAAGATACTTCCTTTCCCCCTCAAGTCTCTGCATTTGACCATTTCACCCAACAGACAGCAATTCGTTTTTTCATCAATGGACTGTGGCTGCTATTTACAGGTGCCTTACGATGTAAACCCAAGTGGTGGGTTCCCTACCACAGAGGAAAGGACCTGATTCTTTTTGTTTTATATTTTATGCTTAAGCCATGCAGTGTCCAAACCCCTGTGCCCCATGTGTCTGTCATAAGCTGGCTCATTAATGTCCTTGTTAAGATGTAATAGTGAATACTGAACAGTGAACACTGGATGAATAATTAAGGCAGAAATAGCTATGCTGGAGCTCTCCTGTTGACCCTTCYAGATCTGTTGTCCACTCTTTCTTCCCACTTCAGGTCCAGGTGCTGATGTGTAGGGCCCAAGTCATCAGGCTTCCTTGTCCTCTGAATTTAGTCAATGGCAAGCCCATGAGTTTGGAGCTGGGGTCGGGTGAGGAGAAGGTGAAAATATTTATTCCTTTGCAGGCTGCCGCAGACTGCTCTCCACCAAAGGCCATAGCTCTTGGGAGGTGGCCCTTTTTTCCACAGTCTTCTCCATCTCTGATTCTRTGATCCTTTCTGCACTAGGAAATGCAATGGGAGCCTGGCACTACCAGTCCTGGAGATTGTGATTTTCACACATGCTGCCCACATCTTCGTAAAACATCCTCGTTTAGAACCCTCCTCACATTATTCTGAATGTCAACTATTTTCTCAGGAACCCTGATAGAGTATCCCTTCTGGAAATAAGTACAGAGTGCATTCAGGTCCATAAGACACACCTTTCATTTGCTCTGGAGAGCTGTTGATTCTTAGGTAGAGAGGTGATGATTTCTCCTTCTGCTCCTCATTTGATATAGTTTTAAATTCCCAAATAATACATCAATGGCACTTATTGCCAATAAATCATTGTAGAGTCAAAAATATATGTTAATACACTGGGAACCCAAAATTATTTGCTTATTTTAGGCTAAATAAAGACAATATATTATTTGGTTTTGGAGACTTACATGTGATTTTTGAATATATGACATTTTTTGGAAYATATTGCATATTTCAAGATAAAGGTATATGACAGTCACGAAGAAAAATGTTAAAATATGTTGCTCTAATACACTATGGAATACAGTGACTCTTGGAAATAAATGTGTTTACTATTTCATTTTATGTCTATTGGATGGTTGATGTTTTAAGAATTAAAAAAATTTAAAAACTCACTGGTAATATCTCCCTAGACTAATTTACTTCTAGCAATAATACAAAGCCACAATTTTAATGTAAAATATTTTGCTTTAATGATGTTTTATTTCTTGATTAATGAAAACACAGAAATATTGATTTTCAATTTTGGTCACTTGAGGAAACGATCTACTTTGGAAAAACTGATTTTCTGAACAGATACAATATTGCCACAACAATGTGTGGAAACCTTTTTGGTAATAAAAATATTTGTCTGTTCTTTACTTCTGAGTGGATATTTGCAATCATTTTCTCCTGACTAGATTTTTTTTTTAAAAAAAGAACTGCTTTAGATCCCATTCTTTCTCAAGTCATTGTGAATTACTAGCAAACATTCAAGTTTAAAGATATTTCTAATAAAAAAAGGTATATTCCCAAGCATCTCAAATGAATGCTTACTTTTCTAGGCATTCTTAAACCTGTGGATCTTTCTATATCATTTAAAAATATCTCTCTATATTCATGGAAATTAGTAATAGTGCAACCATATCCTTGCACACAAAATGTCAGTGGTCAAAGATTTCAGTCTTTTTAAAAATGAACAAAAAGAGCAATACCTAATACTGCCCAAATAGGAGAATTAGATACGGAGTTAAAGTTCATCAAGAAAAGTGTTTTTTTCCTTTTCTTGTTAATGGTTTGAATGTAGAATCATGACTAGTTCTCTGATGGGACAGAGACTTGTTTTAAGTAGTGAGGTTTGAAATCCTATAGGTATGTGCCTGATTTRTAGAGAAGCCTTTTAGAAAGTGTTAACAAATTCAAGGCCCATTATATGCAGTGTTATTGTTACTTGTCCTCACCCCCATTAGACAGCACTGGTCAGATTATATTCATGTTTAGTGAAGTTAGTGAAGTTCTAACAAAAATTTTAAATTGATTTTAAGGAAGGCTGTGCTCTCTAGAAACAAGAAATTCCAAGTCTGTTTTATTATATGTATCTGACATCTTTTCCTGCATCCACTGCCAGGAAATAAAGATGAAATTAATTATTTATCAAAATCCATCAATGATATCAGTGCAATGCTCATAAACTATTCATTCAGAAAGATATGGGAAACCACTCAAAGTTGTAGGACATCAGAGTTTAGTTCTTGAATTACTGTGGGGGAAAATCAGATTTTAGATTTTAGTGTACATATATACATATGTGTGTGTATTTTTTGCTTTTATTTTAAAGCAGAACTTTATTTTTGTATTTAGAAAACTAAACTTTCATAAAGCCAGATGCAATACAGTGCAAAGACTAACATGGTAAATGGCTGTAACAAACAATTGCTGTTTAGGCTTTATGTAGAGACAGTAGAAAACACAGTTTAATAACATGCTATACCAACAAAATTCAAGCCATATGAATATTCTAAGGATTAAATGTTCTTGTTCTTGAAGCTTACTACACATCATCTAGCCTGTGTCTTAATCTTTTGCTGACTTTTGATTAAAGTCTCAGTGAGTTTTCTCTGACTATAAGGTGCAGAAGTCCTCACCCCTGGAAATGAAGAGTTCAAACTGAAAAGGAGGATTGGTGCTTCCTGGTTTGTCCAGGTTACATAGTATTCATTTATTATTAGCAGCCCAAGAGGAGATATGTGCCCAATGTACAATATTTTATGTTTGACCTACAAACATTAACCCAAAGAAACATCAAACACAGTTCTGAAGCCCAAGAGAAAAGAAGTAAATAAGAAATCAGAACATTGATGAATGTTTGTTTAAAGCTTTGTTTTCCAAATGCTAAAAAAATATAATAATAAGTGCAAACTGAAAATGCTAATGAGATTTACAGGCACTGTGTGTAGAATGTGCAAAGTCTGCAAGGTTTTTCTTTCTATTTTTCTTTGGGGGGGTATTTAAGAAATTTTATCAAATATATTTCTTACAAATATAAAGCTTCCTTTCTCTCCCAACTGAAGTCAATTTTAAAAAAATTAAAAGTTCATCAACACTCAGTACAGTAACACAGGTGAATCAGACAAATTCATTTTCTTTCTGGAAAAGAATAACAAACACTGTTTAGGATGTCAAACGACTTAACAGATACCACTATCTAGAAGCCACCCAGAAGAATGTTCTGTTGCCAAAGTCTTTATTCTTCAAAAGTCACCATCCACCAGCTGAAGATTTTTATATGTAGATACCTTGAAAAATTCAAATAAATCCAGTGAACCCTTTGATACATAATTTACATATCACAAGCACAGAAAATATGCTATGTAGTGAAAGCATTGTGTAACACACAAGAAGAAGCAATTTCCTATTTTAAGGAAATAAGAGAGTAGAGTATTCATAGAAAATTTTCATTAAACTCTGGAAAAAATCTTACAGCAGTTCTTTCTTATCACTATACCTCCCCTCTTTACAGGATCCATAAAAATGGATTGTGGTGAKAGAACTGAACCTGAGTTAGTCTACAATTTGAGTTCTCCTAGGCTTTGGTAAGTTAGCAGAGGTATACTATTGTGGCTTATGGTAAGATCTCCCTACTCTGACAATTTCCACAAGGACCCATCTCTCAAGACAGATCTTAGAAATTCCTTCATCTGCTGGATTTTATCTTCGTCTTCAGGCATCATAAATTAGAACCAAACATAGTACTTTACTTTCCAAAATTAAGACAAATAAAAATCAATCTTTTCCTTTGCCTTTGTTCCTTAAACCCTGTAATTCCTACTAGACTCTAAAGGGTACTCCCCTGACCCACACACTGTATGTATATTGATATGTTGGTGCAATGTGAACCAAGGTCATTTCACTACAAGTTGTAACATTAATTTTGATTGCTACAGCAACTTGAAGTTGTAGCATTTGAATTTTGAAGTTCAATTGGCTTTAGATAGTCATTTACTTAAGAATCTTCTCTAATAACAAAATCTTAATCATAAGACTAATGTTTTTAAACATTCTAATATTACAATAATCCCATTTTGCATTTCTCAGATAATGTCTGATTACTCTGAAATTGTGCAAGGTGCATTTCATGGTGATAGTATAAAAAAAGCATGAAGTATTTAAGAGGTGGACTTGAATGCTTTCCATATAACACAGGTTGACAGAAGAAACAAAATAGTCTTCATTTACAATGAACACTCACCTTACCAAACAGTGTAAACTTTAACTTGTTTTTCTTTCATCAGTTTTTGGCTTGGAAGCTTCCTCCACTGTCTAAAAAGGAGAGCAAAACCATCAGTGAGCTCCTTCTTTTTTGGATTAAGTGAAGGGGAAGATTTATGAGGAATAGGCTTGTCAAATTCAAAGATGATGGTAATGTGAAAATAGGTTGGTTCTAAGTTTCTCTTCTTTAACTGACCAGAACACTGTGTCTTCTTCCCCTTTGATCTTCTAATAGAAAAATAATTTTAAGTGACCCCAAATTTCTCACTCTAAACATTTTTATATTTATATGAATTTATTTATGCAGTGCTGGAGATGTAACCCAGTGTCTTACTCGCAAATACTCTACCATGAGCTATTACCCAAACCCTATAAACTTGTTTTTTGAAAAGCCCTTGGTAGGCAACTTTTAAATATGGACAGGTCTTCTTAGATGGCAGTATTTTATCATTCTATAGTGATCCATTATTTTCCCATATTTAGGGCTGTAACTGGCTAGCTAATACACTCATTATACAGGGTTATTAAGTTTTCTATTTTCATTAAGGAGCTAATGAAATACTTAATATAAATAAAATTAAATAATAAGCAAGTAAGTACTTAATCCATCTAAGATATAATGGTATTAGTAACTGTCAATTATGAGTCCTGTTTCTTGTATCCTTTAATAGAATCTAATATRGAAGATTTCATAATCTTGTTCTTAAGAGTTTAATGCAAATAGTCTAGTTTTTAAAACTGTACCTTTAATTTCCCATTATAATCAGAGGATCATAATTATAACCATGTGAGTCATACATTCTTGGAATTAGAATTGTCAAATCCAATGTCTATTGCTGACCACAACATGAGTTATTTTAACAATAGGAAGCTCCCAACAGTTGTCCATTAATGTTCAACTAACTCCAAACCTTGGCTTTGACACTATGRCTTCCATTCATTACCTTTCATTCTACTTTCTAGAGCAACATGAAAACTTATRTACTGATATAGTCTGCATGCCGAATGCCCTCCAGAAATCCATGTATGAAAGGATTGGTCCCCAGGGTGGCACTGTTGGTGGGTGCTATGGACCTTTAAGAGGTGGGGCCTTATGGGAGGTCCTTGGACCAGTAGGGGCATGCCCTGACTGTGGTAAACCATTTCTTCTTCCTTTTTTTTTTTTTTTTCTTTTTGCTTCCTGGCTGATGAAGTGAGCAGTTTGCTTTGGCACATGTTCCCACCATGATGTGTGCCTTACCAGAAGACCAAAGCAAGGGGGAAAACTGAACATGGGCTTGAATCTCCAAAAGCCATGAGCCAAAACAAACCTTTTCTCTTTATATGTAAATTGTCTTAGATATTCACTATAGTGACAGATACATGACTAATACATGAACTAATAATCTCATTAGGTACTAATCTCCCTAATAGTTGCAGTCTAATGAATATATTTGACCATAGAAACTGAATAACTATCTCCCCTAATTTTATATACTATTTTCATGCCCTAAAATTTATATAAATTATATATTCTGGTATTATTGAAATAAAGGCAGAAAATTTRAATTGTGTTAAGAACATTCACAATTTATTTTGATATTTAAAGCTCCAATTATTTAGAAATTATTAACATATTATTAATATATTACTACTTAGTAATATAATAATATTAAATATATTTTACACAGAAATCTAAAATTACTTAGCATATCATGTATAYACATGTACCTATATACATACACACATGCATAAGTATATTTTTAAAAAATTCAGTTTCTTGAGCAAGAAATGCTAGAGCTAGCTAGTGCTTAAAAATCTTTTATTGTAAATAGCTGTTATGGTTTAGCTATAAAGTTTTCCCTGAAAAGCTCATGTGTTGCTYTACTGTTATGTATGTATATCTAAAAAAGAACAACAACAGCAAAAACAATAAAAAAGCTCATGTGTTAGAAATATGATATGCAACATAGGAACATTGATGTGAAATGATTAGATTGTAAGAGCTGTAACCTATTCAGTAGATGAACCCATTTGACAGATTAAGAATTTGAAAGGATTAGGACACTGGGAGGTAACTGTAGGCAGGCAGGTACAGCTAGAGGAAGTATGTCACTAGGGGTGTACTCTTGAGGATTTTATTTTGCTCTGCTCCTTGTTCTCTCTCTCTCTCCCCCCACACCCCTTTCTCCTTCTCATGTGTGGACTGAACCTCTAAAACTATAAACCTAAAATAAACTTTTCTTTCCTTTAAATTGCTCTTGTCAGATGATTTGGTCACAGCAACAAAAAGTTGACTTATAWTAAGAAACTAAATTACTACCAGGGATAAATCCCACTTCCATATAATCGCTAAACTAATGTTTAGTTTAACAGCCTCATATTTACCTTTTCTGAATCCTTCGCTTCACCTCCATTTTGGGATGATTTGGAACTGGAAGCCTCCTTCTTATCCTAAAGCAAAGGAAATGCAATGAGGTTACTTGCTGTCATCAATCCACCTAGCAACTAACTCCTGGCTATGATCAAATTAATCTAGACTAATTTTTACAAGCAGCCTGTAAATTCCCAATTTAATTAATAACAGGTGTTTTAGTCATGAGTTTTTAAAACAATGGTGAATGTACACAGAAGTGTTTAAGGCAGGAAGTTAAAAGATTAAAAATAAGGTATGAAGTGAGCATCCCATGGATGATCTGCTGAGTTCCATGGTATGTGACTCACACACAACTAATTCTGATCATCAAAAATGGAACTTGTCCATCATCAAAAAGACAAGAAATAACAAGTGTTTTCTCAAGGGGGTGGAGAAAAGAGAATCTTAGTACATACACTATTGATGGGAATGTAGATTGGTCCAACTATTAAGGAAAACAGTGTGAATACCAAAGAGTTAAAAATAGAACTATCATACACCYCAGCAATCCTTCTTCTGAGCATATGCTCAAAGGAGGTGAAATTACGCCCTCAAAAAGGTATCTGAACTCCTATGTTCCTTATAGTATCATTTACATTAGCCAAGATATGAAAATAAGCTAAATATACTTAGATAAATAAAAAAAGAAAATGGCAAATATACACAATGAAATACTATTCAAGCCTTAGAAAAGGACAGCTTGCCATTTGCCACAGCATGGACACACCAGGAGGACAATGCTAATTGAAGTATTCCAGGCACAGAAAGCAAAATATTGAATGATCTCATGTAGATTACAACAAAAGAAAAGCAATCAGGCGCAGTGGTACATGCCTGTAATCTCAGGAGCTTGGGAGGCTGAGGCAGGAGGATAGCAAGTTCAAAGCCAGCCTAAGCAACTCAGTGGGACCTTGTCTCTTAATAAAATACAAAATAGGGCTGGGGATGTGGCTCAGTGGTTGAGTGCCCCTGAGTTCAATCCTTGGTACCAAAAAATAAAATAAAATAGAAAAGCTTAACTATACAGAGAGAACGAACAGTGGTTACCATGGGCAGGGCAGGCATAGGAGGCAGGAAATTAGGGAGATGTGTGATGTGTGTCAAAGAACATGAAATAGCAAATAAGTAGGATGAACAAATCTAGAGATCTAAATCACATTATAAGGAAAAAGTTATAAAATTAYATTGTATAAGAAATTTTTGTTAAGTAGATTTTAGCTGCTTGTCACAAAAATGTAATAATAAATTAATAATAACCAATATGTCAGTCTGCTTCACTACAGTAACCATTTTCCTATCTTTATGGATCCCATAACATCATGTAAACCTCAAATATACACAAAAACAATTGATGAAAACAAACAAAATAAACTGTACATAAAACACACACACACACATACACACAAAATGAAACCAAAACTCAGAGCATTTTTGGACTGGCTTTTGTAGTCAAAACCAAGACATTGTTGTGTTATGTGGAGAAATTTAACAATGCAAACAACTGCAGAGCTGGAGTAGGTTACATAGGAAAATAAAATCCATTTACCATAAAAAGATATTAGGAGTTTCCAAGTGTGAAATAGGATATTGAGGAGGTCTACAAAGGAAATCACCCAATACAAAAAGACCAACTATGCCATAATTGGAAGCTATGATTAATAATAACCAAAGCAAGGTTAAATCTAAGATCTGCAGAATGTATTGTTCTGAGAATAATAGCGAAGGCATTCATTTCATGTTTCCTTCTATGTGAATTAAGGGTGGCCATGGTTTACAGGTACAGAATCTCACACTTGTTGAATTAGACATTAGTTTTTCATTCACTTTTAATCACATCTTGAGAATCTGCTAAGTATCAGGCATTTTGCTACTGCTGAGCACACAGGTCATCAGTGAATGATGACCATTATTCAACTCTGTTTACATCACAGGACCCAGCTTATAAATACCAAATACTATTGGCTTAAATAAATATTAACAGAATTCTGGACAGGCTGCTTGTCACCCCTGGGGACACATTAAAAATGTTCAGAAATGATGCATTTTTATGCTATTGTAAAAGAGTGTACCTCTACTTATTTTAATTTTCACCTTTATTTTATTTTATCTTGAATTTAGAAATCTTTGTAGCATAAACCCAATCTTGCCATTTGCCTCAGTTTACCTGCCCATCATCGTCCAGGAGGTGTCTGTATTCAGGTGGGATAGTGTCATCTCTTTCCCCCAGCTTGTCTCTGTGTTCAGCTTTAGTTCTTTCCTATAAACATTGAACAGACATAATGACTCTTCATTTCCTCCTTCACTTAGAAAAATACATTCTAGGATGCAGCATTTGTTTTACTCTTCTGAGGCAAAACATATGCTCTGTGTTTATTTTTTAAGCAATAAAACAACAAAATGGATGACAACAGTTGGTGAAAAAATGTCCACCCATATGCTTCTATATGTCAGCCTATATCTGTGAAGTTTCTGTTTGTATTTTAAATTGAAATAAAGGATTAAATAATTATCTTCAGGAGCCACATTAGGAGAGAAAAACCCAAGGGCATAAAATAAGTTTTTTCTTGTTCAAATTTCAAATAAAATACATTGACTTGTCAGAAGGTCATATTTACAGCTTCGACTATTTTTAACCAACTCTGAAGGAGTTGAAAATTGTAGAAAATCTGATGCTTGTGTTGCAGTGAGGAAGCACCTGCTGGTGTGTAAGCCATACTTGCCCCAGCATCCCCACCTGTGGGTCTCTGCTAGGCTCCGTACAGATTCTAGGACCCTCCCTGCAAGTGGAGTAGAGTTGATTTTTCTGAATTATTAGAATTTCACTTTCCAAATATAAATTAAGTTCACATCACTATTCCTGTGATGGAATGACAATTGCAGAAATGCCAGAAATGTCCTGCCTTTGTGACATTGATTTTGCCGATCAGATAGTTACATTGTGGTTCTAAGCTAGTTTCAAAGTAGCTGAAATAGATTAAGTATTGTGCACTGAGTATAAATAAGTGCTTATACCTAGTATATCAAATGTATAGAATTAACTGTGCCCTCTTCATAGTGCTGAACTCAGCCCAAGGCCTCTCATTGGGAGTTTGATTTCAGATTTAGTTATACATGCAAGAGAAGGCTGCTGGGGGAAACCTCTGACCAATACATGAACTTTGCCACTACTAGCACATAAAATGTGTTCAATTAAAAAGTGCACACATATGCATATCATATGTATGATGTCCTTATTTCCAAGTAAAACCAGGAAAAGGTAATGCAAAAGAAGAAAACAGAATTAAGAAAGCAGAACTGCACTGTGTAACAATGGAAATATCACTACAAGGTCAGGTCTCACAAATAGGACATGTGACTGTCTTAGGTCTGTGCGACAAACATGATCCTTCAAGAGGAAATAAAGAAATGCCACATAGACCACAGGGCAGAAAAAACAATGAAACTCAAATTAGCCAACTGTTCGCTTAGGCCAACTAAATATAACATCAGAGGTATTTTTTTTCCTTTTATGTGGAGGATGGGATATTATATGCTTTAAAAACCTTACATGAATATATATATTTTTTTACCTTCACTTTATCTTCCATTGGTTTGTTCTCATCTGGGTCAGGCTGCCTTTGCCCGAGACTATCAGAAAGTTTATCCAAGGCATCRTCAAGTTCTTTGTCTCTCTGCTAAGAAAGTAAATAATTCTAAATTAGTTACTGCTTAGTCAAACTGTATCAGAGGTAAGTCAGCCAAAGAGCCCCATTTTTTCAGGAGTGGACTTGTTTTCTTGGAAGAGAAACTAGGTGGGGTGCAGGAATAGATACGGTTACAGAAGCTAAGTGAAAGGGAGAGGCAGCAGTAATACGTGTCCATTTGACTGGGTTGGAGGACCAGAGCCCACCCTGCCCGGAATTCTGGAGAAAAAAAAAAACACACCAAATTATGGAATTCTCTGTGGTAGTGTCAGGGACTGCACCCCAACAGGTGACTCAGAGATTACCCTCACCCTAGAGGGTCCAAATGTAAATGAACCAGTCACTTTCCTTTTATTTAGATATTAAACACAATTTTTTTTAAAAAAGACAATCCACAGATGTCAGATGGTTAGCAGGTGGGATTTTGCAAAACAGGATGAGTATTTCATTGATGTTGTGGGTACACATGACAAACAGATCTGGAAAGTACATTCAAGAAGTACAGCATGACCACAGCAAATTGTGGGAAGCCATACAGCACATTTCCATCCCAGTACTTACTTCCTGGAGCACAAAACCCCAGAGACAAACTGGTATCACAAGACTGAATAGGGATTCTCTGCCATAACAGGGAGGAGGGGATTCAAAAGGCTTCAGAGAATTTCTGCACTGGTGGGGAATCGGGGAATCGTGCAATCACCAAGAAGCCCATAGAAGTGAAAATGTCCAATGTCCCAGCAAAGAAAACTCAGGCGAATTATGATGGTTTAGTTGACTCCTAATACCCAAACACATTCATTTGAATAAATCTTTTTGCCTAGTTTTAGGGATGTCTTCAAATAAAACATGGAGTCAAACTAGACTCTGATGGGGAAAGTGAAGGATCATCATTGTGAAAGGCAAAAGGCTTTTGGTTACTGTTTCCTAATAGACTCAATAACCTCCGGCCTGAATAGGTGTTAGGAACTGAAATACATAGAGCAGCTTGAGTTATTACTGATTCTGTTACACAAGAACTTCTGCCATTAGGGAAACACACACACACACCACTTTAGACCCCAGAATTGCAGCTGCTAGTGGGGAAACTCCCAGTGGCCCAGTCTGGGCTTTGTCACCTGTGCTTCTGGATATTTTCAGATGGCCCTGAGACTGACCAGACAGGATGAAAATCCATCAGAATCTGAGACTCCAGCACTAAGTAAGCTTTGAAGTTACATCAAAAGAAAAGGCAGCAGAGCTGACCTCACCATAGCGACTTCATCTCTTTCTAGCAAATGAGGCATTGTTCCCAACAGGGAAGATGGGGACCTGGCTGGAGGCCACTCTTTATCTTCTGATGTGTTGTAGATAATGTATCATKTAACATAGTACAGATAATTAATCAAGGAAGTCTAGAACAGCTTTGGACCTATGGCCTTGCTTCAGAACTTGTAAACAATTAAAACACTATCGATGCATGAAAATGACAAATTTTTACTGGTGTGAATGGGGAAAACAATGCTATTCAATAACATGCTTGTAATTTTTTTTTTTTTTTGGGCAGGAGAAGCTTAAATACTGTAAAATTCCATAAAATAAATCTGAGGTTAAATAAACTGTAGTAAATTATAGCATGTGCCAAAAAAACTTCATAAAGAAAAAAAATCAATTATCAGGAAAGCTAAGGAATTTTTCAAATTGAGTAATTAAAATACATACGCAATATATATTATTGTACTTGCAATTATGGTAAAGCAGCAATCATGTTAAGGTCCTTGACTATGAGTAAAATGGTTTCACATATGTCATTTCATTTAAGCACTTCACAGATATTCTCTGCCATCTCCCAATATAGCCAGTCTAGGATTTTCTAAAATGGAAAGTGTCTAATCTAATAATCTTGTCTATTTTCATTTGATGTAAGCAGGTATCCTATTTTCTTTCTTATTGCTGTTTTTGGAATATTTTAATTCCAATATCTTTTGGAATATTTAGATAAACTGTTTTAGACATATAGTTTTCCATTTTTGTGTCTTTATTTTTCTATTCAATTCTTTTTCTTTATATCAGTCTAACATCTTATAGCACCCTTTTACTTTCTAATCTGCTGCCAATAATATACATAGCATATATAATGTCATCTGCAATGCGTTACATACAAATAGTCATAGTTACAAGTATACATAAGTGTTCCAAATAAGATAAGTTGCTTACCAAATTGTCAGGTGGGGGCTTTGCAGGGTGGGTGGCTGAAGCTGGCGTTTGGGAAACCACTTCTGAGATGACAGCAGAAAGTTTATCATCTGCAAATTCCTTTTATGAAAAAAATTTTTTGTCAGTAATATGTTACATATAAAATCATGCCCACAAGGCTTTGAAGATAGCTCTTATGACTGTTCATTCTCTTGATTCAAATACATGCAGAGCAACACAACTTAAAAGCAATTTTTTCCATTTCATCTCTAAAGCATTATTTTATACTATTTTCTATTTTGTAGTCATATTTATTATTCTAAATATTAACTGTTCAATAATGACTTAAAGTTCTGGAGTTTGTTTATATACTTCCCTTTGTACTTACGTTGTTCAAATGTTTTCAAGTTTTTGGCAACAAACGATCTAACTAAGCTTTAGAAGTGAGTGTTTATAGTGCTGGCTATATTCCACCCAATTGCCCTCTCAGAGTTGCTAGGAGTTTGTGTTGCTAAAAACTAATGAATGAGTGTGTTTCTGATACTACAATACATGTAATATGATGCAAAACTGTTGTTTCAATATTACAATATATGGTGTAAAGTTACAGTTTAATATTTTTCCTGAATGTTGGATAATCATTCCAGAAACTTTCTGAAATAATTTCTTCTCACTTTATTTTAAACAATATACTAAATTTGTCATTTATGTCCACTTTTTAATTTTCTTTCACTGACTTAAGCCATGTTTACTCTCTGAATCATAAATAAGAGACATGATTACTGTATAACATATGCTAGTGTTCAGTTGTATTAATCTTCCATAAAAATACTGAAAAGAAGTTTTCCATACTTTGGTTTTTCATATTTTTATACATTTACTTTCCAAATATATTTTAGAATAATTCAAGTTACAGAAAGTACCTTATTGCTATTTTAAAAACAAATTAATACATATAAAATGACTTGAAGTAATTATAAACATTCTTTTAGATATTTAGGTAACTGTCTTAGACATATAGTTTTCCATTTTTGTGTCTTTATTTTTCTGTTCAATTATTTTTTTCTTCACATAAGTCTAACATCTTATAGCACTTTTATTATCTAATCTGTTGCCTGTTTTATTATCTAATCTATTTCATAGCATATATAATGTCATCTACAAATGTTATATACAAATAGTCATAGTTACAAGTATACACAAGTGTACCTTTTTAATGTGTTATTTTTTAATCTGTCATTATTCCTCCATAAATTATACAGAAATGACTATRAAATCAAATTTTCATAGTTTTTAAGGGAAATGAAATCAGTTTGATATTTAATATATGATTACTGAAATTAAATAGATACTGTGTAACACATTAAGGGATTACCTATCCTTTCTAGGTTTTTAATTAAAACATGAATGTATGTAAATTTCCAAATATATCTTTTATATGAACATAATTACTTGATTGTTTCTCTATGCTTTTCCTGTGAGTAAATGAATGACTCAGTGCCCCTGGGTTCAATGATGTTTTTAATTTTTTTTTATTTTGAGACAGGGTCTTGCTAAGTTACTTAGAGCCTTGCTAGATTGCCGAGGCTGGCCTTGAATTTGCAATCCTCCTGCCTCAGCCTCCCAGGGCACTAGGATTACAGGTGTGAGTCACCACATCTGATGAATGCTTAACTTATGATAAAAGCTAGTGACTACTTTAAAAACTTGTTATAGTTCATCCTAGTAATCTTTGTATACCTAAAAATTTAAGTGCCTTTGGATGATATTGCTATATTCAGTGAAGCTTTAAGATTTGGACCATAATCCCTGTAGAAGCAAGCATGTATAACACTATCTTTTTCATGACATATTCATCACCTGGAAACTACCTGAGTGTTAAACATGTAAAAGAGTTATCTCTAGAGCTCTGGCAGGAGTAACCTGGGGGACAGGTCTAATCTCTTATTCAGTTTTCCTTTGTTCAAATTTTATGAATTGTTTTATTTTGTATTTTTGTTTGTTATCTCAGTAGAAAACCGTTATATGTAGTGATTACTAATAATTTTGTGTACTGATTGTTACTTTTACTTGTTCCTGATTTCCTACTTTCACAATGGATTGTACTTTTTAAAGACCTTCTTCTTTTATACCTGCCAGTGCTTTATAGACATCCATAAAAATCAACTGGGGATTGGCTTTGAACTATCAATAATTAGGTTGATCTCTAACACTGATTGTTACCTTGTCCTCACTTTAAAATTTCATTCTATTTACACAATCTTTTTTTTTAGAGAGAGAGAGAGAAATTTTAATATTTATTTTTTAGTTTTTGGTGGACACAATATCTTTATTTTATTTTTTATGTGGTGCTGAGGATGGAACCCAGCACCCCACGCATGCCAGGCGAGTGTGCTTCTGCTTGAGCCACATCCCCAGACCCGCACAATATTTTCCTCTTTTTGATTTGCTGGTGTTTTGTAATGTATTAGTTTTTTTTTTTCGGAAGAAACAACCACTTCAAGCTGTCACTTATGCTGCTGCTTTCACCTGTTATTACGAGTCCTTTGCTTCCTCTGCTCCTAGGTTGGTGAGTCTTTTGGGTGGTCATGTTACTACAGCTTTTAGCTACTTAAATTTAAAATTCAACAAACTTTTGGTTTATCAAGTTTTTCTTTCTCTGTTATTGAAAAAGGCATTTATGACAATAAATACATCTCATGAGTACTGCTTTGGTTGCTTCAAAAAGTCTTTTAATTTGTAATGTCTTCTTGATTTTTTTTTCTTGGTACTGGGGATTGAACCCAGGGTACTTAATCACTGAGCTATATACCCAGCTCTTTTTATATTTTATTTTGCAACAGGGTCTTGCTAAGTTGCTTGGGGAATTATTAAATTGCTGAGGCTTGCTTAGAACTCACCATCCTCCTGCCACAGCCTCCCTAGCTGCTGGGATTGACAGGCATGTGACACCATATGCCTGGCTCTTCGATTTTTTTTTTAAGATAATCTATTTTGAATTTACTACTTGATTTCTGTCACCTTAGGGGAATATTTTAAATATTCTATTTCTGTTCTGTTTTATTATGATCAAAGAACATGATATATACAGTAGTCTTGTACACTGGACTACTATGAGCTAGTATATGGTATGTTTCCCCCAGTGTTCTTGGGACTGTTCCCCAAAGAGTTTTCTAGTTTGTCCATTTTATTTTTTATCTCAAATCATGTCTTTGCTTAGACAACTTCTTAGGGTGAGGAGGTCATATAAATTCAATGTTACAATTTGCAAATCATTGAATTCCTAAAAGGGAGAAACCCTGACTATGGTAATAATAATAATAATAATAATAATAATAATAATAATAATAATAATAATACTATGCTGAAAGGAAGTAAGGCCCATTTCCCACACCTGGCTCATGTGTTCTGAATTACTGTGATGGGATGATTTCATATCCCCAGGACACTGTTCCTTTTGTACTTTTCCCCATATCTTACAGCCAGGTTGGAGGTGCCTGTCTGTGATGTGTCCTGCTTACACTCATGATGAGAGGAAGGTCATGGGATGGGGTGACAGCATGTCATGATGTTCTCCTAGGGGCACTGTGAGGAGCGCACACTGCTCAGTGGCCTCTTCTCAAAGGGCTTATTGCTTTAGCAGCTGCAGAACTTCAGATCATGCCAAGGAATCTTTATTTTTTCTCCTTCTGCTTTCCAACTGATATGTTTTCTTTGTCATCATCCACACAAGAGAGCTTCTTAATTTGCTTTTCAACTGACTGCTAACAATACATTCAGTGATTTAAGTAGCTGAGTTAGCTGTAAATAGATATACCAGGCCACATAAGTTACTTAAATAGGAACTCTAACAGACTTATATGTTCACATATAAAATGCCATGAAAATCCTACAGTAGAAAAGCCTGTTTGACATTACCAACATTGTCCAATTTGTTCAGCAACATTCCCTTTGAGAGACTATCTATTCCATATGGAGCTAAGTTTCCTTAGGAGGCAATTTGGAAAATGATAAATTACAGAAATGACAGGTAAAGTGGTCTGAGAAGTGATTTTAGAGAAACTCAAATTTAAACTCTCTTTTCATATAGATACTTAACATAGTAAATACTCATTGGTCCAATTAGTTAGACTGTTGAAATCATCCACTGTTCAGAACAATGTTTCAGGTGTGATACATTTTTAATGGTTACAGTGTGTTGAGGACCATAAATTTTGTGATCCTTTCCTCAGCTTCCAAGTCAGATTCTAGTTACAAGTTTCCATTTATTTCTGCCAAAAATAAACCAGAAGTTTCAAACTTACAAGAGAGGAAATGTCCGGGTTACCAGCGAAGTCCTCAGACAAAGCATTGAGAAGGAACTCGTCGCTCATGGGCTGCAAGAACCAGGAAATGAGATCAACACTAGTGACATCTGTCTCCTCTTGAAAAGGCAGTCACTATTGCATACTGATCAACTCACTAAAAGGAAAACTCTCCCTTTCTCCCAAACTATCAATCAGGACCAAAAGGAGACAGATATACTCAAAGAAAACTGATTTGCTTACCGGAAGCTGTTCCTTGGGCTCTTTAGCCAGGAGTGGTTTTCCATCTTTATCCTATTCAGGGGGAAACATGGAAATGAATCATTTCACACTTTATCCCAAATATGAAATCTATACACATTGCAAGGGATCAATATACCTAATGTTGTACACATTAAATTAGAGTTAACATTTCAGGAAACAAATTCTCTCACTAGAGAACACACTCTAATTAGTTCATGCCAACAGTCAGCTCACATGCACCAGGTATTCCCAAGGCATGGGGTTTGCACACCTGATTACACATGGCTTATGGCCCCAGAGGCCCAGAGAGTAGGCACAGGAGAAAAAACACACGAACAGTCAATGTAATGTGATGTATGGGGTTGTGACAGGGATTTACAGGACATAACAAATTAGTCCCTTGCCTACCTGGGGATGGGCTTTGCAGGAGTTGCCTGGAAAATTCAGGTTAACTTCATAAAGCACGCATACAACAAACAAGCATTGATAATGGGCCTTAAGCACTAAGAATACATTAGAAAAAAAGCATGAAGTCCCAAYCAAACTTCAGGAAGCTTAGATTAGYGGTGAGTGTTTAAAATTTAAGGCTCAAATTATACCGTGCTTTAAATGACTCCAAGTATAATAAGAAAAAACTGATAGAGCATTTAGGACTCTTCAGGAAAAGATGATCTATAAATTAATGGTAAATCTCATTTATCCATGTACACGCACACACAAATAAAGCCCAAGGTTATATATGAAGATATCGCCTGAAAAACTGTTCAAGGTGGTTTTATTTATTTTGGTTTTTGTATTTAAAATGTGATTTAGAGATAGCATCTGCTTCCCTCATGAAAAACACAAACTCCTTTATCCCTTTCCATTTCCTCTGTAGTCCACTTGTACCTTCTGACCCTTCTTCCATTAGGAGCGAAAGCAGAACCGGGGCTTGTTATCCACCATCCCTTAGCTGCAAAGGTAATAAATGTTCCAAGTGATATCCGTGACCCTGGGGACCTTTCTGTTCCACACTCAAATTGAATAAATCTTCTATCACCCCATCATCGAGTGTCTGGAATGGGAAACTTGAGATCTGCCTTCAGGAGCTGACTTTCACTGAAGCGACCTTATGTAATTAAGGTGGATGAATAAAGGTGTATTATTTAAACAAAAGATCAAGCCAACACCTGGAAACGTTATAAAGAAGAAGGTAAGTAATGATGTGTGAGCTAAATTCAGAAGAGGATGAAACCACCACTGAACAGAGTGGTAAGGGAAAGCTCATCACTTAAATGCTGCTACTAAATTTCAGAGAAGGCAGTAAGTTAACACCTACTACAGAGCAAGTTAACTGCACCGGGCTGGCTTCTACTGGCTTCTRTCTGTGGAGACAGACATGTAGCTCTGAAGACGCTCTCTAAGAATTTTCAAAGCAACATACAAATAAGCTCAAATTAAGAGAAATGCCACGGTTTCAGTTGCATTGTGAAATGCAGAAAGCCAGCAGAATAAAGGTGTCTAGAAAAAACTTTCAATCAGTATAGCTCCCAAGTTGCTGAATAAACGTAGCAGTGCATGTGGATGAACTTCCTGTAATTGTTAATAGTTTAGTTGCACCTTCTTTTAAGTAGTGTTATGTTATAAAGATGGCTGACATTTGTCCATACACCTGCCCTGCTTAAGTGACCACACTTAATCTATGAGATTCCTAATGGGGTCTTTCTCTCTCATGCTTATTCTGTATAATCTGTTCTTGCAACATAAAAGAAATGGGTCAGTTTTATCACTTTACTTGATGACAAACAGGCTCTCAGTTTTTTGACTTTATCTTAGAGTCACAAATTTTTCCTCATAGTAAGTATCTGCTCTTCATTCTGGTATTACTATCTGCCTAAGGTTTCCTGTATTTCTGCACTATAATAAATCAGGTATATAAAGGAGATAACTTTGGGTAGCAGTGCCAATAGATTTCTTTCACTTAAGGCTGGATTGAAGTCTCATTTAGAAATATTTTAGCTTCATTTCTGGTTTTCTAACATGATATCTGTGGACTAATACAGCGAGTGTTTGAAATTTTAGAAAATAAGATCTTAATATTCCAGGTCTATTCCACATCCCTTCATTATGTTTAAGAAATCCAGAATGAATTAAAATAAGAAAATATTCCAGCCTGTTTACCTTGACCTCCTCTAACCTATAATCAGGAGGAATAGTTTCTTCTTTTTCACCAAGTTTTTCACGATCTTCTTCTTTGGCTTTCTCCTAAATAAAAATCATACCATTTGCATAGTTAATATATTTTCTTCCTACACATTGGATACCTGGGATAGAGTGACTAAATTTGAGGTAAACAAATGTCATTATATTCCAGTATATATATGACCATACATGGAGAGTTCCTCCAGCAACCCAATTTCTAACACCACATCCAAGCTTAGCAGGTACAGGCACCACCACACAGGCTGCCGGGCTGAGTGCAGATTGCAAGGAGCAGCAGGCAGCTGCCACWTCACACAAGTTCTCAGCAATGGGAAGGCAGCCATGGGAATGCAAAGGTGAAACTCAAAGAGCTTGGACATATGCATGCTGTCCATTCACTGTGGGAGTTAAACACTGGAGCTTCTTCTGGTTTAGTTTATTGACAGAACAGGCATAGTAATCGAGAAAGCCAATTGGACATGTTTTATGAATAACGTGTTTTTTAAAAGAGACCAAATGACTAACTCATTGGGGGTTTGGTCAATGGCAGTTCTTTCTAGATGTGTCAGAGCTGCTATTTATTACCTTGACTTTATCTACTATAGGTTTTCCACCTTCTGGATCTGCTTCCCTTTTCCCCAGGCTACCAGCTAAGGCTTCTACAGCATCATCTGGCACCATGCTTTTCTAAAAAAACACAGGCGGATATGTTAAGTAGGTAGATAGTGATTTTCTTTAAAAACAGACTCTCAAACAATCCAGAATGGCAAGTCCTTATTTCAGGCCTAGATAAGAAGCACACGTTATTTTGTAACAATTTCAGTTATMAATTGAATTAGAATCAATATTTAGTAAACTTAAAAGATTAAAAATTATAACAAGTTTCTTCCATACAACCTCACATGTGTGGAACTTACATATTGGCCAGAAATTTGCAAGATCTAGCCAGAATTTTGGTTCAGAAATAAGAAATATAAGGAAAGTAAGAGGAACTGAAAAATCAGTAAAGAAGACAGAAGGAGTYACTGTGGAGTTCATTGTAAAGACTGCACAGAAAAGATTTTCAGAATCCTATAGGAGAACTTCCTTTCCTACTTCCTGTGAGTTAGATGGCCAGTCCAGGAGGTACGGAGGTATACCTATGTAGCTTCTGCAGTTCCTGTGGATCACCGATGGTTCAGGTGACCCTGCTGTGACCAATTAACCTGAGCAGCACAATGAAAACTGTCCATCTGTGGTCCAGTAATCAAAAATAAAATATGCTCCCACATGATGTCATGAGCTCTGGTCATGGTGGTATTTAAAGTGAAAAGATGAACACAAAACATAAAAGATGTAAATGGAAAATAAAGAGGAACACATGTTTGAGTTAAAAGACGAACTAGGTCTGGCTTTTCTAAACAATGGGTTGTTATCTGTACATTAGGTGACTTATGAAAAATCAGTGGAATATTTTATGGCCAGGGCTTATTTTTTTAATATATAGACTATAAAATAGAATGGTTAATACGTAATGGGGATAAGTGCCATTCATTGAATTGTCATTTCAATYGTGTGGTACTGAGTTGCAATATCAACTGATGATCTTGGTCAAGCAAAGGCACAGAAGCCTTTGGTTTGAATAGTCTCAGAATTTATTCTTACTATAAGCTTTTTTTTGTGTGTGTGGTGCTGGGAATTGAAGCATTCTAGGCAAGCACTCTACCAATTGAGCTATATCTCCAGCCCCTCAGAGTAAATCTCTCACCTCACACTGATGATCTATTTTTTAAAAAATAAAGGTAAACAAAATAAAGGTAGTTGGACACAATACATTTATTTATTTATTTATTTATTTATTTATTTATTTATTTATTTATTTATATGTGGTTCTGAGGATTGAACCCAGGACCTCGCACCTGCTAGGTACTCTACCACTCTACCACTGAGCCACAAACCCAGCTGGAGGAATGATTTTAATATTACCAAAAAATGGSGCTAGGGCTGTAGTTCAGTGGCAGAGCCACTGAATCATTGTCACACATGATTCAGGCACTGTGTTCCATCCTTAGCACCACATAAAAATAAAACAAATAAAATAAAAGCATTCTATACATCTGCAACTACAAAATAAATAAATATATAAAATTATCAAAAAGTGTCCTTCTGTTTTATATATCTTAATCATCATCATTACAAAAAATATTTTTTTCTGCTAAAGTGTGCTATAAGTCACCAATGAGGAAAGGAAGACCAAGAGGAAAGTAATTTTCTGCCACCTTGTGGCTGAATGTTGAATAGATTTTATTTCCAGGAGGGGGAAAAAAAAAAAAACAAACTAAACTCTTGGTATTATACTTAATTCCTAAGAGTTGCACTAGTACCCAGATCTCATCCAGGAAATCTGGCTTGGTATCTGAGACACCTGCTCACAATATACTTCTGTTTTGTCATACTAAGTCTTGTGGGACCTTTGGAAACCACTGCTTCCCAAACCTGTACCCTTCTCCCACATTGGGTTTAAGAAATTACTGAAACAGAGTTAAAAGAAAAGCAAGGAGAACAGTCTTAGGACTGAAGGAAACTGAAAACAGGACTAAGAACTACAAATTCCATTTCTGTAGTATTTCGTGTCAAATTCAGAAATGAGTACTCAGGTTTCTGAATATCCTTAGTAAATTTTCTTTTTATACACAAAAGAACCATCCTAGACTCACATCCATTTCCTTCTGCTGGTTGTCTTTCCTTCACTCACTAATCCTCATGCTTTCTGAGGTCTTCTGACCTTTATCACACTTTGCTGCTATTCTTTCTGGCTCCCAAGGGTGTCACAATCCCAGAAATGCCAACTGCCTCACTGACGGAAACCTTGGCAACTGTTGCCTGAGTTGACAGGGTGGAGGCCTAGGAAAGGAGGTCTGGGAAGGTAACATTTTTGTTCCTTTTTGCTCACTAAAAACTCAACTCTCAACTATGTAGTCAGGGTCAAGTTGGGAAGAAACTGTCTGAGTCCCATAATGCTTTCCCTGGCAGTCACACTTGGTGGCTCAAGGTTTTTCACAAGAGCTCTGCTCTGGAATGTGGCTATTGTCCTTTTGATTCCAATAACCATCTTTGCTTCCACTGCTGGTCACTGGACTCTTCCTGGATTCACTTCTCCTTTCCTATTCCTTACCCCTGTGGCCGGTGGCCTGACAATGTAAGCTGGTAGAAGCCTCAAAAACCAACACTCAAAAACTAACAYCAGGGTCTCCTTCCTGCCTTTATAAATGGGAATCAAGTCCCATTTATAAAGGCAGGAGGGAGACCCTGGACTGGGGGATTTGTAGTTGACACCAAGCTCTTCCTTGACAGGAAGTGGTCAGTACACAGCATTCAAGATACTTATGTTTCACTTGCTTCAAGACCCCTCACTCCACTTTTCTCAAACAAATRGATGTGCACATCCCAAGCAGACCAGGGGCTCCAGATGTCTCTGTTGGTCTATCCTGGTTGACTGGTCTCCCTGGAAAATGGTGCTACTTCCATTTTCCAGTGTGACTTTGCCCTTCACTCAAAAGTCTTTCCTAACTCCCATGAAGAGGGGCTCTTTCACTCATGTTTCCTCTGCCCTTTTCCATATAAATATGAACAAACTGTACCGTAGCTGAAAGCAAGGGCCATAGCTCTCATCTCAGTCGAGGCTCTAAAATGTTAGATGGGTTTCTCAAGGTCAACTCAAAGTCCCATTTCTCTCCTCTATTATGGAAAGATGATCAGAACAGGGTTTACAGTGTGCTTATGAAAATTCAATGAGAAGATATTGCCAAGCATCTAGAACAACGGCATTGTTGGTGACCCATGTTAGCTCTTCACAGTATAGATTGACTTAGTCKCTAATAGAGATGCTATTGTCTGAATCAGATTCTATCATCACTTAATGGAAACAAAATCCATTGAAATCAAAAGTAAACAAAGACTCAATTAGTTAAATATCATACTTCATACAAAAAATTAGAGCATGAGGAGGAGGCAAGAAATGAAGAAGGAAATGAAAGGGAATTGAGTCAATCTTTCCTCTTCTGGTTGAGACAGTGGAGTGAAATCATAATGATTTTGTTGGAAGTTATTCCATCAGGAGTCAGTAAGAAAAGTGGCATTGGCTATCTGTCAAATTCCAAATAGGCTTGAAAGACATAGGACAGTGAGTAAGCAGGACGAAAATATTAGCCAAAGAAATAGAAATAATTTCAGAAGGTGAAAGAAAAATACAGCTTGCAACAATTTAATTAAAAATTTAAATCTAGCTTGAATTTTCAATAGTATAATTAAATCATATTTTGTTTATTTTCTCAGAATACAATGATTTGATGATAATGCATAGCAGAGACTGATAGAAAGAAAATGAGTCCCAGAGAATCACTTACCACGGAAGCTGGCTTGGGTGGTGCCGACTGTATACTACACATAGAGGTTCGAGACACAGTCTCTGCCACAGTGGTGGGGGCAGCAACCTTATCTTTCTGGGGAAACAAACAGGTTCTTTGACTAACTTTAGAAATAACTGGTCAATGATGGAGCAACAGGACACTGCAGTATCATATGAGTATGAGTCTCTTGAATGCCTAAAGATTTTCCAAAAGTGTGTAATCTAGGCACATTRAAATTCTTTAGTAATCATTATCTTAACTTCACTTTACCTCTTACCTCAGGTAGGTTGTTAAACCTCTCTGAGACTCAGTTTCCACATCTGCAAAATGAGAACAATGACAGTACCTACATCTCAAGGGTTGATAAAGAGGCTTAAATGAGATAACACAGGTGAAGTGTAACCCACAGTACCTAGAAACACAGCAAACTCAACAAATTTGAGTGATTATTGCTATTATTTGTATTGTTTGTCACAACACAATATATAAGAATAAAATATGCATATTATGTAATACAAGAGAATCTTACATAAAATGGTAAATCTAAGGGCACATTATAAACTATAAACAGTTACATGTACAGGGAGTAATAGTGACCTCAGAATAGTCCCTGGACTAACAGCCTCAGTACTATCAGGCAACTTGTTAGAAATGCAGATTCTTGGGCCTCCAATGTACTAATTAGAAATTTTGGGAGGGAAAGGCTAATAAATCATGTTTTAATAAACCTCTAGGTGATGTTTGAGAACTGTATCATATCTTACTACAGGAGTCAAATTTCAAATCCAGGCATTTATGGGAGCCTGTCCTCTATGCAAAGTACTCAGCAGATAATCTATTTCATGATCTCTTCTTTTAAGAAACTTCCTGTTTTAAACTGCATGTTCAATGTTAGAGTTGGAGAAGGACCCATACAGCTAAAAAACTGTTATCAATGCTTTAGGGGTAAAAAAAGGAGTGGCAGGATTCCCTGCCATGCTGCACCCTTCACACAGGTTAGAAGGATGGTATGGTTAAGYGAGGGGAAGACAAGAGATAAAGGCCATGTTTTAGCAGAGACTTAGAAGAATGAGCAATATTTTTCTGCTGGCTAACACATAATAGACTTCAGGTGATCTASAATTAGGAGGAAAGGCTATTCCCAGCGGAAGAAAGCAAATGAAGAAAACCATGGAGACAGATGTACTTACTGTTGAGTGATTGGGGAAACTGGGAAAGGAAGCTTGGGCAACAACACATCAGTAGGAACTTTTCTTTTGTAGGGAATAGGAAGCCCCCTGGTGGGAGCAGGGATATGATTTGACTACAAATATGCTTTAGAAAGAATAATTTTGGTGGACATGTAGGACAGACAGGAAGGAAAATGAAAAAATAAGCCATTTGAGACCCAAGGGGAGAGATGATAACAACATTAGGTAAGTTACAGAAACAGAATAGAACCCCTGTCAATGGATCAAAGTATGTATTTGAGAGCACCCTGAAGGAATAATTGCAGGTCTTAAATTGCAAGAATTTCAGGGTTTGTTTGGTTAAAGAAAACATATCTAGGAAAAGATAAGACGAAAACTGCACGTAAAAAAGATGGTATAATGAGCTTATCCACTCCATCATGGTCAAATCATTCTGATTTCACATATTTTAAAATTAACAAAACATAAAACCCTTCAAAAGTAGAGATTTATATTTTCAGAAACATACTTCTGTTTTCTCAGTTGGCTTTGATTGTTTTTCTTTAGATTTAGACCGGCCAAAATCTTCTGAAAGTTCAGCAATGAGTTCTGATTCACTGAGGGGCTGTAACATAGGAACATTGTATATTATGAAGCAACTGTTTCTACTTTGTAAAAAATGTTTTCATAGAGCAATATTTTTCTGCTGGCTAACACATAGTAGGATGACTACATTTTAGGACCTAAAACCAAAAGCTAACTTATAGGGGGTATATGTTTCATTGATCAAGTAAGGAAAAGTCACAACAAAATAAGAAACCCTAAATAGCTCAATACTACTGTTAATGGCTTACTTAATCAAAAGTTTTCCTGATGTATCAATTTCAGAAAAATTTTGCTCAAATAGAATTTCCCATTCTCCCCAATGAAGATCTAGAAAGATTTTTCAAATGTGATTACTGTGCTCTTATTTCCGAGTCACTTCTTTTCTACCTAAGTCGGAGAAACACATCACATACTCCTTTGCCATGTCTTTGTGGCTTTCTGGCAGCAAAGTTGTGTTAACCTGGTTGTTTCAGGGGCGGTGGTATTACTAATTTAGACCTTGTAGAGATGTCAACTAACAGCAGTAGCCTGTGATGGCAGGGCATGTCATTCAGACGCTGGGTCCCACCAGGGACAGCCTGAGCTTGCAGTGTTAGCCTTGCTGTGTTCTAGCTTGTAACTCTCTCTCTCTCTCTGTCCATTTCCTCACTGTCAAATGAAAATGATGATACTTCTTCATGCAGTGAGGACTCAAAATCTCACAAGAATGCATTTGTTACAGTTTTGAACACAAAGTAAGTGGTTTATAAATGCTGCTAATTAGAATTATCATGACAATGTTACCAACTTAAGTCAATATAGAATAGGGGAATTTGATGGGTCTAGATCAAATTCTAAAGTAAGTGCAACTTAATCTCATCTAAGGCATCAGAGCTCCTAATATTCAATGAAAATCTTAGAAACTTATCATCTACTAATAATTCATGCAGAAAATAATCATTAAAATACATGAAAAGGAGTCAGAGGTATCAGCCAAGTGTTATCATCTGCAGTTCCCCCTCTATACTAAGTTGGCAATAAGACTCCATAGTAAAATATATTTGTTAAAATTACCTTATTTTATACTTAAATGTCTGTTGTTTTTTAAGTATAAAAAAGACTTATTTTCTAACCTTGAGTTTTTCTTCAAGCTCTGGCAATAGTAGATTTCCATCTTTATCCTATAAATAAAAATGAAAAATTCACTGGAAATGAAATTGGAAATTTTGCTTTCATGTCCCATTAAGTTTAAGTTTGTTTTTGAGAAATGCAGAATATGAGAGTAAGCTTATTTTTTCTTATATTTGAGTGAAGTTTTGCTTTAGATTATTAACTTTTTATACAGTATACAAAAGGACTTGAGCTATATAAAGATCATTATGCCAAATGTTACCAAATATGATGTGCATTTACTATTAAAAGTTACTGAAAAACATTTCTATCTGTTGGGAAATAGAAGAGTAATAATCATTTTAAAAGGACGTTGGCAAGAAAAGTACATCCACGTAAATGGAAATTTTAAAAAATATCCAACCCAGGGTAAAGAGGTAGATACCATTCCTGTGATAAATAGCTTTTAGTTTCTTAAATATGATGTTATACAATTTGTGACATTTCTTAAAATAAGAAAATCTTCCCATAAAAAGACATATAACAATAACAATTATCTTCCACCATGTGTTTAATATGTAAGTTTTCCAGAGATGAATTGCAAATGTAATTACAGGAGTTAGTCTACCATCCTCACCCCAGACCAAAACAACACAACTACCTTAATGCTAAGGATACTGCTAAATAGTTGTATGTTTAAGTCTACCACTTGCAGATCTATGGTGCTTTTATTCACATAGCAGTTAGAGAAAAAATTATTACTGATCTGTGTCAAGCATTGTTAGTAGCTGAAATAACTAAATTGGTGGGACTTTACTGACCAATGGTCCCTACTTAGGAAACCAGGAAGGAAAACCCAACCTTAAAAGGTTTTTAACTGCAAAGAGTTAAAGAGAAAGGATCCAGAGATCTCAAAGCTCAGATCTGAACTTGAACATAAGTTTCCTTGGTGTCAAGGGTAGGGACACACAGGAACATGATGTATACGGCAGAAGTATACGGCAGAAGTATACGGCTGCTTTAATTTTTAGCACTGCAGCTAAAATTTTACCGTGACCGGCTTTAATCTGTATCCAGTTGGGACTGTTTCGTCATCCTCACCACACTTCTCTTGTTTTTCTTCTTTAGCTTTTGCCTGATGACCAAAGAGAGACAAAAAGAAGAAGAAGCTAGATGATGCGTGTAAAATGAGATGACATTGCTCTGTATATTTACCAAAGCACCAAATCAGAAAAAGCATGAGCTCTGGTGAGCAGTAATGAGCAAGGCAGTAGGGTGACAGTGAACACAACACAGCCAGGAGTCCTGGAGCACGTTGCTCTGCTCTTAGGCTCTGTGACTTGAGGAAGCCACCTAGCCTCTCTCTGGTTCGCCTTCTTCAGCTGTAAAATGTGCTGCTATAATCCTTACATAGCTCCCTGACTTGAAGGCTCACCACAGAAGAGTAAAGAAAAGATCCTTGGACAGTTTAAGTGCAGTGCCAAAGTTAGCTGCAATTATTTTAATAAACTTCATCTGTCTTACTCRATGAGGCAGTTGTCCAAGGAAGGGAGAGGGGACAAATCAATTCTCATCCTAAACCTCTAAACTTCAGAATTGAGAGAAACATCCAATCCCAAATCTCTGCCAATTCATGAATAATTGGTTTTAACTTTTTAAAAATAACTTCCTTCAATAACACTAAGACATCATGCCATTACTGACCTATAAAGAACTAACTGTACTAGAAATAAAAGTATAGCTCTACAGGAGACCGACTTCTAGGACATAACATTTACAGCTTAATCTTCTGGTAAGAAGTCTAACATTCCACAACAAGTCAWAATTTTTATATCTGTATCAAGGCATGGATTTAGTTCACAAATCAAGAGGGAAATTCACTGAGCAAATTCCAACTCACTCCAGTGCCCCCTTCTACATCTCAGCCTATGAGTGTAGTTTTCCATTAATTGATTAGTCTTTGATTAATTTTCAAGCACTTTTAATGAGCCAGGCTCTATTCTAAGCTTTAAAGTTTTTATAATTTTATTATTCTTTAGATAACATTTTTAAATTATGAAAATTTTAAAAAAATTATTGCTATTTCTTTTAACAGTTCCAGTTTTATTTTGCTGTAGCATATGGAGAAAATTCTATTACACAGTGGTACCCTCAAATTCAGGGATTAGTGAGGTCTCTGGCCATAACAGCCTGCATGAACTTGATCAAGGGGCCCCTGTGTAGCAAGACTGCTCTAGGCTGTGGACAGTGAGTGTTATACACACAGCTAGATACTTTCTTTTCATCTTTGATCTTCATATTCTTGAATGACTATACTGTGGTTTGTACCAAATAGGCACTGGAAAAAACAACAACAAAAAAGTCTACTGAACTGAAATAACAATGGACTAGATAACCACATGTAAAAATGGGGGAGATTTGTAACTAGGTACTGGTGTAGAATAAACACGTCTGATTTGTGTTATAAGAATACCAGGGGGGCCTAGTCCCTGCCTCTGAGGTATTATGTACTTTCCACAGAGAGCTGTCTAGTGCGGAACGTGCTGGAGTGGCAGTGGACAGTAGCCACCTTCAGAAGCCTCAGCATAACCTCAGACTACTGCAAAGTATCTGTATTAAGTACTACAAACTCAGCTGAAGTATCTAGAGGATTGAAAGATCTTCTTAGGAAATATTTATGTTTTGGATATGAGTGAAAAGGAAAACTAGTATGTCATAAGAGTAGAAGAGTTGTTCTCACTGGAATTTTAGCTTACTGCTGCCCCAAGATTTTCTAGAGAAAACTGAATACATTCATTTGTATCCCTGTACTAGTCACCCACTCTGCCTTATGAATTACATTTTTTATATCTAGTTTTAGTCACTGCAAGACTCTTTTGGTGCTAGAATTTATATTATGTTTATGCTTTCCCTCCCACATTTCTTATTAAATCACTCTAATGATCTGTAAAAAGCCTGAGGTGAAAGTGCATTCACTTCTGGCCACAGCCTACAGGTGGTGGAACCATGACTCCACCCAGCCTCCCAACTCCCCCAGCATTCTGCAAGACCACCCTTTCCTTGTGACAACAGGTTTGTGTCTGACTAATCCAAACAACGTGCATCTTCTGTAGTATAGTAATCAGTTTCCTGTCTTCCAGATACATTACTTGGTCCTGGAGGACAGGGACTACTTCTCCTGCTCCCTTATGTTCACTTTCATAACACTTATCCTGCCACACTGTGGCTGGTGAGCCCTCCAAGAAAGTAGAAGTTAGAAATTGGCCCATCTTGGACCACGCTGTCCCCGACCCAGGAGAGTTCCTGAGAGTTAGGGGGACTCCACTCCCTTGGTGACTCAGAACAGGAAGTGACATCAGAGGCCAGGCATTGTGACAACACACTCCCCAGCTCCCCTTCTAAGCAGATAGGGTGGAGCTCCTGAGGAGGAGGATCCCAGGTTGTGTCTCTATCTCCCACAGGACACTGCCTTGTCAAACACAGGGAACTCTCTTTTCCCCTTAAAGACCAAGTTGAAAATTTCTACAAAAATTGTCATTTATTTATTTTTAGTTTTTATTTATTTATTTTTTTGGTACCAGGGACTGAACCCAGGGGTCCTTAACCACTGAGCCACATCCCCAGTCCTTTCTCATATTGCTAAGTTGCTAAGGGTCTTGTTAAATTGCTGAGGTTGGCTTGGAACTTGTGATCCTCCTATTTTAGCCTCCTGAGCTGCTGGGATTACAGGCCAACAACTGCAATTTGATATCAAAACTTTTCTATACCAAATACAAGCTTGCTTTGGCTCAGAAGGCTCGCTAAGGTCTTGGAGGCTGGTGAGATGCACAGGAATTGGCATAGTGCTCTAAATGTGCAGAAGCTCCAATTAATAATTGTGGCTTTGTTTTTCTTTTTCTTTTTCTTTTTTGAACTGCTTTATTGCAAAACAGAGTGACAGAAAAATTTTTTTAAACCCTGCAAAAGTCTATAATGCATGTTTTAAGGTGATAACTTTGCGACACCACCTTGTAAAATGGTGAAACTGTCAACCACACTAGAAATCCCACCATTTGCCCATCCTAGTCAGAAACCCTTCCTTCTCTGACACTCTGATGTTTATGCTAATCATCTATCTGCATTTCTTGTATACACTTGGTTAATAAAACTAAGTTAAGCTTAGTCTTATCAATTTAAAAAAATTATGTCTTTTAGTCTTTTAAGTCTTTTTAAATATATAGATTCTCTTCCTTCCTTGCTTTCAGAGTACTACTTCTCATTCTTCTGGTTGTACACAGAGTAATAATGTTCAATATATTCTACAATCCTTCCTACCCCATACCTGCTTCCATTCCCTTCATTCCCCTCTGCCTAAGTCAAAATACCTCTATTTTTCCACAGGTTTCCCCCCCACCCCCCCAGCCTCCACATAGCAGAGAAAACATTTGGCCTTTGTTTTTTCAGGGATTAGCTTATTTTGCTTAGCATGGTATTCTCCAGATCCATCCATTTTCCTGCAAATGCCATAATTTCATTCTTCTTTGAGGCTGAGTAATGTTCTTTATTTTATTCTAACTTGAGATAACTTTCAATTGCTTTCTCCATGGTTATATAAAAAGGATCTTCCTATCCTTTTATAGTGTTTATTCTCCTCATAGAGAGAAATGCCCAGCATTCCTCTGAAAATACAACTGAACAATTTTCATCAAAGCAAACAAACCTCTTTCCTCACCAGGCCACTGCCTCCTGCTATCTTGTTTAGTCAGGTGCCATGTAAGTTTTGGCAAAAGAGATTAGTGTTCATTTAAAATAGTAAATTCTATACTATTTAAAAGACAGAGAAACATTTCTCTTGATTGCTAACTATCAACAATAAATATCTAAATTAACCATATTTGAAAGTAAAGCAGAATGGAAAGTAGTTCATATTTTTTTTTTTTTAGAGAGAGAGAGAGAGAGAGAGAGAGAGAGAGAGAGAGAGAGAGAGAAAGAGAGAGAGAGAAGTTTTTTAATATTTATTTTTTAGTTCTCAGTGGACACAACATCTTTGTTTGTATGTGGTGCTGAGGATCGAACCCGGGCCGCACGCATGCCAGGCGAGAGCGCTACCGCTTGAGCTACATCCCCAGCCCCAGTAGTTCATTTTTAATCCCTTGTAAAATACACCCCCTCCAAAAATTCTAAACACATGAGAGGCATTCAGTTTTAGAACCTGCAGACTAATATGCTTTGTATATCAGCTGCAAGGTCAGTACCTCATTAATTTCCTTAATGGTGCTAAGGTCCAGTTCAGGTTCTGACTTCCGGGTGCCCAGTGAAGCTGACAGAGCCTCAAATGCTTGATCGCTCATGGCATCCTGTTGGAAATAAAAAAAAATCTGGTTTGAAGAGAGAGAGAGAGAGAGAGAGAGAGAGAGAGAGAGAGAGAGAGAACGAACTTCCCCAGAGTGCAAACAATCCATTTACTTCTTTGTGAAATACACATCTTAAATGTATAAGATGCATTGTGGATTGGGGAAGTCTTTTAGAGACAATTTTATTTGAAACCTAAGCAAAGAAAGAAAGGATAAAGAACTTACCAATGAATGAAAACTGGGGCTAAGACACGTTCTTATAGTAATAGTGCTCTCTCGGGTACACTTCGCCCYTTACTTTACAAGTTAGGAGTGTGACTGCAGTAATAACTATAATACCATAAAATACTCTCATCAAAATAAAAATGCAAGTAGTAAACTTTCACTACTCTGTTTTTTCTTTTTCTAAAAATGGCTTCTTGCAGCCCTATCCTTCAACAAAATAGCAGGGTGGAAAGCAGAGAAACTTGAAAAGGCCCCTGCTGCTGCCTTCTTCTCAAAAGGCACAATGGCTCATCCTAGTAGGAACTCCCACTTTCAGGGTGTGGCACTCACCACTGTTCCCCCAGTCAGTTAGATAAAAATAAACTGTCCACTCTAGGAGGAGAGAAACAGAAACAGCTCTGATAGAAACTGTCCTCAGCATTATCTGGGCTGCTTATACATGTGACCGGTTTTCTCATTCAGCTCAGGGCTGCAGGATCCCCATTCAGATTTTGTTAGATTAAGACATGGTTGACTGTAGTGAAGAAAGGTGGTCAGAAACAGCTGCCAGTGGCATCCCTCTAATGATCCAACAAGGCTTGAACTCTTCTAGGAAATTGTACTTAAGATCTTATGTTCCAAGAACCTAATTTCTCTGGTTTCTCCCTTCTATGCGTTGTGGTCAAATGGTCTTAGATCATAACTGTGCTAAAATCATTGATAAGGTCCTATAGAGATACAGGCTTGCCTGTACATGATCAATCTTTCCATCATTGGCTTCACTATTGCCACATAGGCCCAGGGGAGGGAACTTATTCCTGATCATGGGTAATGCAAGATCAGACTCAGGGAAGCAACCACTGTCAGTGGGCCAAGGTTCTTTTCCAAGGAATAATTACTGATACCTCCTCCAACTTTCTTTTCTTCTCCTTAGGTGGAATAGCACTTCTGATTACCCCCACTGACTGAGCTTTTAAAACATCTCCTGCAGATTTCTGAAAAATAAAATACAAAAGGTCAAATTATAGTTAAGGGAAATTAAATTATAATAACCAGAACTAAAAAGTTGTTCTTCTGAATTCAAGAGAGTTTCTATCACATTCTCCTTAAGAGAACTAAAAGTAATACCTCTTTCTCAGTTTTCTTTTCATCAGCTGTAGGAGAACAGGTAAAGTCAGAAGACAAGGCGTCTATGGCATCATCAGGCCCCATAGGTTTCTAAAGAAACAAGACAGGGTCAGCAACAATGCCGGGAGCCATTGCAGGGAGGAGGGGATTACATGCCAAGTGAAGGAAGAATTTACCTCTGCACTCCTTTGCTACTTTATGAGATACACCAATGAAATAACTTTTATCAAAGCCCATATTTGAGAGAATAGATGCTCAGTAAGTATTATTATTCTCTTCCTCTGCTCTAAAGCAATTTCATGGTGGGACACAGTCATTTTATTGACACGTAATGTTTATTTTATTCTAATATCTTCTTGGCTCCATTCTCTTCCCTTCAAAGAAACTACCCATGAAATGAACCATGGACACCACCCTGCACCCACCCTCTTACTCTAAACAGATACCATTATCTGATTTAGATCAGTCGTGATTTCCAATTACAGAACTGATAGTCCTATTCCCCCCAACCAAAGGCATAAATAATATTGATTTACACCTTAGAAGACATTTATGTAAACTCACCAAAGAGTCTGGAGGAGGCTCTGTGATCCCTTCTTTTTTCTGAAACAGACATGAATTAATTTGATGAGGTTGAGAAGGCAAAATTAATCCTCATGATTGTCAAGATGTATTCTCAGTTTGAGATAAACTAAATTGTGCCTCCCCAAAGCCAGACACTAAAGTCTTAATGTCTAGTTCCACAGAATTAGACCTTATTTGGAGACAGGGTCTTCATAGAAGCAATCAAGTAAGGGTGAGGTCATTAAGGTAGGCCCTAATCCAGAATGACTAGTGTCCTTATGAAAAGGGGAAATTTGGAACTCAAGATTTGCATGGAGGGAAGATGATAGAAGAGACTCCTAAATAAGATGGCCATCCACAAGCCATTCACAGCCTTCAGGAGTAACCTTGATTCTGGACTTCCAACACTAGAACGGTGAGACAAAAACTTTCTGTTGTTTAAGCCACCCAGTCTGTGGTATTTTCTGTGGCAACTCCAGCAAACTAACACATAAAGTGAGCTTCTTAATAATGACAATTCAAATGCCTCATTATATTTTCTAACTTGTAAAACCTCTGAAGATATCAACATGAAATTATATTCCAAAAAGGAAACAATGAAATAAATAAAGCAGATTATGCTAAGTGAAGCTAGCCAATCCTTAAAAAACAAATGCCAAATGACTTCTTTGATATAAGGGAAGTAACTAAGGACAGAGTAGGGACGAAGAACAGGAGAAGAAGATCAACATTAATAGAGATGAGAGGGGGGAGGGAAAGGGAGAGAGAAGGGAAATTGCATGGAAAGGGAT